CCCCCCCCAGCAGACCAGGGGGACAGGAGCAAAGCCACGGAGCTGTCCCGCTGCGGGCGTGCTCCAAGGCTTTGCTCCCCGTCTCCCTGCAGACCAGGATACAAATTAGAATGGATACAAATTAGATATCCAAAAAGGCAATACACAGAAAACTGTTGGAGAACACTTTAATCTGCCTGGACAGTCATTACTGGATATCCAAGTCACCTTGTTGTTTCAGGTCAAATTCACAAGCCAAATACACAGGGAAGGATTGGAGCTTAACTTCATTTACAAGTTTAATTCTTATGCAGATGGAATGAACAGGGACATCAGCTGGCTCACACACTACCTTCCACATCCTAATGACTTAACCAACCAACCATACCTAATTGTTCTTATCAGCCTTTTGTAACTACTTCACTGTGTCTCTTCCCCCACTTCTCTCTCCCTCCCCTTCCCTTATTTATTCTTGGATCTGGATTTTTAATACTCCAGTCATCTGAATAAGTGGGTTTTGCCCACAAAAGCTCATGACACTATCTACATGTTTTGTTAGTCTGCAACAGGAAAAACTTAATAGTCTAGTGGCACCTGAAAGACTAACTCGGCTATTCTCTGAAGCTTCTAAACAATTATGAATGTTTTAATTGATTTTACGGTGAAGGCTGATTTGAAATGAAATGTAGTGGGTAAATGATTAATAGAATTGAGTCTTAAGCATTATCAGTGGTTTAGGGTGGTTTTTAAAAATGTTTTCTAACTGTATGTGTATCTGAAGAGCTAAAAGTTTCCACTGAAAAGGACCATGATTCTTAATACTCTGTTTCCTTAGAGTCCGTTCTGTGGCACTGAAACATCTAACATTCCATCTCATGAATGAGGAAGGAGCCAGCCTGAAGCGCCCTGTTCTGCATGGTAGCATTTTCTCCAGTATTCCCAACTTATTTATTGTGGAAAGACCTATTGAGTTGAAGTTGAATGATACAAGAGAGTCAGTTTTTAAGGTAACTAAAATGTCTTTTAATGTATTTTGTTGTTCTGTACTTTTTAAACTGCTTATTAACGCCAAGTGAGAAGGCTGCTGCACATCAATTATCTAATCCTCTGCAGGTTACAATATTTTTTTTTTCTTTGATTTGTCTTGCATCTCAGAAATGAGTTTGCTAGAGAACTTCTACCCTACAAACTTTAAGAGCAGCTTTTACATTACAAAACGTGTAATGAGTAGGGACCCACCTCTCATGAGTGCCCCTTTCTAGTCCAGGGTGAGCCTCCCATTTCTTAGTTCTTGGAATGGGGGTCATCTACCTCTTATGAAAGTCCATAAACCTGCGTTTTCTTCTGTGGGTCTTCAATGATTCAGTTCCCCTGCTGAGTCTCTGACACACACAAGCTGTTTTCTGTCAAGGCTTCCTCCTTGGAAACACTGCCCTTTGTAACAATCTTAACAGGACCCATCACAGTACCCTTGTTTGGTCTGGCTAGCTTCTGGGCTCAGTCCTTGCTTAGTCCCTGTAGCTCCTACTCAGCTCCTCCAACCTTTGGCAGCCATGAGCTTTCTGTGATCCAGCTGCTCTTCCAGCCAGCCAGGAATCCAATCCTCTCTCTTCCAATTCCGGCAGTAACTGACTGCTCTGTCTCTGCTGTCTTTTTTTTTTTTTTTTTATGGTCTTCATGACTCAGATTGGCCTTCTAGCAGACACTCCAAATGCTGTTGCGGTCCCTTAAGAGCCGCATGTCCCAAGCAGGCTTCCGTCAGGAGTCCAGCCACCCCAGGAAAAGGTGTCAGTACACCAGAGGGGAATTAAATTCATCTAAGTTATGCAGGGAAAATAGGTACACCATCCCGAGGCATAACGTCACAAAAAGAGCACTGCTCTAGGTTGTCTGGAGATTTCTTCTCTGCTCTTATCTGGAGTGTGGTGAGGCAGTGCTTCAAGGTCTCCAACAAGGGTCTTTTGGATCTCACCCACTCCATTATAAGGTGCAAAAGTGAATGAGACCTGAGTTTAGTTACTATTCAGCTTTACTAGATTTTTACCCCCTGCAGATGAATTAGTTCCACAAATGCAAAGTGGATGTATCTAACTTTAGTCTATAATAGCTTATCATACTTGTTAAAATTCTATTGTGCATGAGTAGAAATAGTCATAGTTCTGTTAAATCATAATGGTCTTTCACTAGAACACCCAAAGGCACTTTTCAATGTGAAATATTTCAAGGCCAAATGTTGAGTGTCTGCCTCTGGCCACTAGTGTGGCTAGGAAACAAATGATCACAAGGCTTATCTTCTAATGGCTAACTCCTACCTTTTAAAAATATCTCCTTTCACGCAAAGAGCTCAATTCTTTTTTTGCTCAGTTTCCAAAAAATATTTCCATGGGTAGTTTGCCTAGAAAATCTCAGCCTCGAAGGTGAAAATGTCATGAAGATATGAACAACTGAAATGAGATTAGCAGAAAAAAAAGTATGTGACCTTTGGTAATAGTAGTAGGTAGTTCCTACTACAATTTTTAATAGTGCATGCTGACATCAAAGTAAACATCAGAGTTCTTTTCGTACTGTTTCTAGTTGTTGTTTCGCTTTAAGTTGAACAAAATTCCACATCTGCATTCTCACAGTCAGTTTCATAATCATGGAAGACAGTCTAAGGACAGATAAACAAGTACAGGCAGTCCCCGGGCTACATACAAGATAGGGACTGTAGGTTTGTTCTTAAGTTGAATTTGTATGTAAGTCGGAACTGGTACATATTGTACCCCAGGTGTCCCCGATTCAGCCGCTGCTGAAACTGACCAGCGGCTGACTACAGGAAGCCCAAGGCAGAGCTGCTTTGCCCCGGGCTTCCTGGAATCAGCCACTGATCAGTTTCAGCAGCAGCTGACTTGGGGACACCTGGAGTAGAGCAGCTGGGGTGCTGCCAGGTTGGTCCCCGCAGCGCTGAGGTGCGGCTGCGGGGATCAACCCGGCAGCGCCCCAACTGCTTTGTCCCAGGCATCCAGATTCAGCCACTGTTGAAACTGACCTGCAGCGGCTGAATCGGACACGCCTGGGGCAGAGCAGCTGGAGTGCTGCTGGGTTGGTCTGGTAGTGCCGACCTGTGGTGCGGCGGGACCAACCCGGCAGCACCCCAGCTGCTCTGCCCCAGGCATCCCCAAGAGCAGCTGGGGTGCTGCCGGGTTAGTCCAGTAGCACCGAGGAGCGGCGCTGAGGGACCAACCCAGCAGCACCCCAGCTGCTCTGCCCCAGGTGTCCCCCAAGTCAGCCGCTGCTGAAACTGACCAGCGGCTGACTACAGGAAGCCGAGGCAGAGCTGCTCTGCTCCTGGCTTCCTGGAATCAGCCGCTGATCAGTTTCAACAGCGGCTGAATCTGGACGCCTGGGACAGAGCAGCTGGGGCGCTGCCGGGTAGGTCCCCGCAGCGCCGCCCCTCGGTGCTGTGGCACCAACTTGGCAGCCCCCCAACTGCTCTACCCCAGGCATCCTGATTCAGCCGCTGCTGAAACTGACCAGCGGTGAGAAAAGCCTGGTCTGCTGGGGGGGGGGCGGGGAGAGGGCGTACTAGCTGCGCCCCCCAGCAAACCAGGGAGCGGCTTTTCTCGCTGCAGAGGACGCGGGTGGCGGGACTGCCATGGCGCGTCTCGGCGGTCTGCTGGGGGAGGGGGCGCAGCTAGTTCGGGGTTCCCTCACCCCGTTCTTAAGTAGGGATCCGACATAAGTCGGATCCACGTAACCTGGGGACTGCCTGTAAACAGAGGTTAAGTGGAGGTGAAAAATAGCAAGTCCTTAAGTAGCCTCTGTAATTGCTTCAGAAGATATAGATATGTGAACATCGCACATTTTCTGGCATATTACTGTATGTGGAAACTAGTTGGCAAATCCAACCCCAAATAACAGATGCACTTAATCCAAATGTGACGGGGCAGGTTAAAGGGCCTCATGAAAAGGGGGAGAGGCAGCTCTAAAAACAATTACAAAACAGAAACAAAAAAATCAGCAACTGTCCTGGCTAGTTAGGGGCAGCTGAGATAGGGCTGCTATAAATCAATTAAGGGCCAGGTGAGCTGATTTCAGGCTGCACTGGACATCTTTAAAAACCTTCCCTGTGGGGTAGGGGGAGGGAGAGTGGAGAAAGAGTTTGGAGAGTGGAGGTGGAGTGTTATGAACAACTGATAAGGAGACTTGGAGCTGAGCAGAACAACATCAGCACTATTAAAGGCTGCAGGGGGAGGTAAAGGGCTCTGAGTAAGGGGTAAGTGTTTGGAGGCTCCCTTCCCCCAAGTGGCCAGAAACTTCAGCTGGTGGCTGAGGAGGACTGTTTACTCAGCCATGACTGGCCATGGGCATCTGCCCCAACACCCCTTTGTTTTGCTGAGGGACAAACGCCAAGAAAAGGCAAGTGGGACTTGTACCACAGGCTCTAAACTGTGGGGTGGTGGGCAGAACAGGGGTCTCTAAGATCCAGGAGTAAGACTGACGTTGCCACACAAAATAATACAAGTGCAAGACAGTGCCTCACCATACAAGCAAATCCTACATGTATAAGACAAAATCAAAGAGCTGCTTATTGACTGATGGTCTCTAGATTACAAGTTCATGCTTTGCTGGAAATAGATGGAAGCAAACAGCAACTAGTAAAATAAATCAGAATGCTAAATGAGTTGTGAAAGATGCCATTCTTCCACCAACCTAAAAATAATAAAGCCACTTGGGTTTACCATTGATTAAAAAGATACTTAAGATCTAAAATCTATCTGTGTGTTGAACTTAATTAACTGACGTAACCACAAGCCATTTTACAGCTAGTCTTCTGCTTAAAGAAAAGACTATAATGCACTGAAATATCAAGCATGTACATGTAGTGAACGTAGGAGATAGCATGATTGACTCGAGTTCCCTGCTGTTATAGGGTAACTGTCATATAATCATGAATATAATGTACATTACTCCTTTTGTTAATTACACCAGAATAAGGATGTTACAGTGCAGTTATCAGGTTAATCATATAATTGATACAATTTGAATTGACTGTATGATTAATCGATAGAACTGCTCTGCAGAGCCGCAGCGAGGGTAGTTCCAAGAGCTGGCTCAAGTTGGGACTGAGCAGTCCTGGCTTGTGCCAGTTTGGGGAATGTCACATGCTGGAGCTCTACATTTTAAATGTAGTAGGAGTTGCTGCGCTCTTATTACTTTTAAAATGCAGCGATGAGCGTGAGCTGGGACTGCTTAATCCTGGTTCACGCTGAGTCCAGCAGCCCTGGTTTGCTGTGGAAAACCCAGTCCACTGGAAACGGGCTGCTGCAGGAACAGCTCATGCCCGTGGCCCCATGAACAGGAGCTGTTCTGTGGCAGCAGCCCCCGTCTGTGGCGGGGCCCAGCCCCATCTGGGACCCCTGTGGACAGGAGCTGCTTCGCAGCAGCCTCCCCTATCCCCTCCACTGCTGCCTCTGATAGGTGCTGGGGGAATTGGTTTTTAAGTCAGCTCCCCCCAGCACCAGTGCCCAGCCCCTCCCCTTGCTCCACAGGGGGAGGTTAGGGGAGGCAGAAGCACAGTGGGTCAACTGCTCAAGCGAGGATTCAAGCAGTCCCCACTGGCCCCATGTTCCCACTGCAGTTCTTCAGCCTTTGAAATGTACCTAAGCCCCAATTTCCAAGGCTAAATGAAGCACCACAGTGGGATCCAGAGCCAGTGGGAACTGCTTGAGTTCCTGCTTGCACCGTTACCCCACTGTGCCCCTGACCTCCCCTCCCCCCGACAAGGAGACAGTGCTGGTGGGAGTCTGCTTTTAAGCCAGTCCCCCAGCACTAGCTTCTGCTCCCACCCCCTTGCTGCCTTTCTCGGTAAAAGCAGAAAAGCGGGGGGAGTGACTAGTCGAGTCAGTACTAGTTCACTACTTGCTTTTGTCCCTATACCACAAAATAAGTGTGAATATAAATATGCTTTAAAAAAAAAATTCCACATTTGCATATTCTGAAAATGAATTTGTATGTTATTTCTAATTGCTATATGTTGGAAATTATTAATTTTCTGTTCCCCAAGAAATGCTTTAAAAGCTTAATAAATTATTCTGATCAGGCTGCTTGTAATGATTTTTAGAATGGATCATAGTCACATATTTTATTTATATAGTTTGTTTCTTACACTTTTTGAGGGAATGAATGAAATAGTTGTCCTGTCTAACTAAGAGACGTATATTATATGTAGTTCTAAATATAGCTTTGTTTTAATAGGACGAGACTGTGGAAAAACTATATGGTATTCTTACTTCTGACACCATTGACCTAGTTTTGCGAAAGTCTGCAGCAGAGCAGCTAGCTATAATTATGCAAGGTAAAGTGTTTTGGAAATATTGATTCACGTGCTGGTAAACTGATTTTGTGCTTGAAATGCTATTTTGAACTTTTAATTACCTAACTTCCACTTATATTACCAAATCAGTATTGCAAAACTGTCATGAAAATTTCATTGCCCAAGTTCAAAATTTACTTGCCTGTTTCACACAACTGCCTGAGAGTGAGAGCATAGATTTTATTCTCCCAATAGGAAACAAAAAGGAATAGCTCAACCAAGAGTAAGTATAATTCTGCAAAGTTAAAGTAAACCTGATGATTGGGCTTTAAAATGGACCAGTCAAGTTTTTTCTTAAACTTCATACCTAACTCATTCTTGTTTATTAGAGATAATGGCACTGCATATGTCCTGCTTTTTCATGCTGGTAATTTCTACCTTGAGTGGAAGAAAAAATTATCCTTATGGAAGTGTAGGTGTATTTTTTTCAGTGTCATCCCATTCTTGTAGGAGAGAGCCATTTCTTAGATTAGAAGTCTGTTTCATAGACAGACAGTAGAGAAGAGGTAAAAGGGGACGGGATCTGAGGAAATGTTGTTCTAAGTCAGCCTTGCAACAAACACCATTGCCAGCTTTGTCCACATATTTACTCTGCTGACACCATTATTGGACCTAACCAATTCAGTTATAAGATAAGATCAAGAACACATATTCCTGCTCATCCAGAAATATAATTTGTCATCATGTGCCGACAGTGTCCGTCTGCTATGTACATTGGACAAATGTCTCAGACGCTTCGCCAAAGAATCAATGAACACAAAACGGATATCAGACAGTATCATAAAGAAAAACAGTTTCTTGCCATTTCAACCATAAAGGGCATTGTCTCAACAACTAGCTTACCTGCATACTGCTTCAAAGGCATTTTAACACCAGACTTGAAAGAGAAACCTCTGAACTGTCATTTATGCTTAAATTTGACACTTTACACTGGGGTCTTAACAAAGACGCTAATTACCTTACCCATTACAAAGATAGCTTCCCCAATTATCACCTCTAATATCATTAGCTCACAGACATTTACCTCCCCCTCTCCCCCCAATCCTCCCTTGGATTTGAGCAAGCACTCAAAGAAGAAAAGACAGTTACTGTTTTATAACTGGTGTTCTTTGAGATGTTGTTCATGTCCATTCAACTCCCCATCCTTCTCCTGTCTGTCGAATTTCTGGCAAGAAGGAACTGAGGATGGAGGGAGGAAGTGCCTTATATAGTACAGCATACGGTTACGCTGTCTATGAAGTAGTTACAGACTCTTTGTTTTTAATGTAGTGGATTTGGGGAGAAGAAGTTCCATTCAATATGCTATATAATTTGGTTAAAGTGACTGTTAGTAAATTTATATCACAAATAAAAAAAGTCTGTAGGAGAATGTGGAGCATATGGGGGAAATATTAAATTTTGTTAAAGATCAAATGTAAGTGAAGGCATGTAAACATTGAAGGAGGTATTCTGTGCTTCAGTGGATGGTCCAAGTGCACTCAGTAGGCAGAATTCAAGAGCTCCAGACTTAATGTAGAGTAATTAGACAAATGGATCTGTACACAATCTATTCAAATTCCAATTATAGGAAAGTACTATTTTTTTCTCTTAGCAAGGCCCATGGAACTGACATTTCCATACTGCTGACCCAGAGGTTTCCAGAGTCCAGCAGAAGGAAATTTGTTGATAGTCGACATTAATTCAATACTCTGCCATGAAAAGAAAGATGCTGACACTACAAATATCAAATTCAGCATTTTCTCAGTAGGTCATATATATGAATACATTTCTTTTACATTCTGTGAAATACATTCCATGTTGACTCTTGGTTCCATCAAAGTCAGTGAGTGTTTTGCTATTGACTTAATGGAGACATGGTTTACTGAGGAGGGCATGTGATAAAGGCTGCCTATCTCCATAATGGGTTTTATGTGAAGCCCTGGACAGTTCCTGGTAATATACCACCCATGGGTCTCAGGCCAAGGAGGTGATGCATGAGGATTCTGATCGAGACCTAGTCTCGGTTTCCCAAATATCAGTTCAGGGCTCCTCATCACTTCTAGAAGGGCCACATTCCAGAAATCTCCGATGACCCTAGGGCCACTAATGGCATAAGGCCACCACCATAATCTTGCTAGTGTTACACATGGGCAGTATTTCCGCTAAGATTTTCCATTCTTGGATAGAATTTTCTTTTGGGCTGGTTGAAATTTCTTATGTGCAGCTCCAATACTGAAGTAGTTTGGGGATGTGCACCCACCAGTACAAACAAAATCCATAGATATAAATATATATATTTTAAATAGTCCATAAATGTGGAAGAAAATATATTAAAGCAAGGGATAATTAGCACGGAACAATGCTTATGTTTTTTTAATATGAAATCAAATGAATTAACACTACCTTTGACTGAAGAAGTGACTTGTGCCCACGAAAGCTCATGATACTTTTTATATATTTTTGTTAGTGTAAGGTGCTACAGTACCATTGTTGTTTCTTACATTTTTTTTAGTTACAGACAAACATAGCTACCCCCGAGACCTGAGAATACATGTATCCTCATTCTTTCTAACACACAGATGCATGTTTCAAAGATGTTGCAAATAAAGTTTCATCCTTCAAATCAGCTACTTCTGACTCAGAAGAGCCAGAACTCTATCAAATAGCAAAGAGCTGGCCCTAATGCAATACAGTTTACCATGTATTAATTAGTAACACAGGATTCAAAACAATCATTAAGATCAGAGTTTTAGATATTTGCAACACTCAAAAAAATTCTTTTACCAGAATTTTGTTCTTTCTTATCTTAAGCCATTAACGCTTATGTAAACTTTGTTTGAAATGTAATCATGCAAATGTCCTGGCATGCGCGCACACTCATGCACGCATCCACACATACCCACGTCTTGTCTTGATTGAACCAGAAAACCATCTCCCCCATCCCTCTGATTACTTTAGCCCTTCTTCCCCTTTTTAACTCTGAGTTCCATGATTGGAAAGCTTCCCTCTTTGGCAGCCTCTGCAGATGTAGACTGTGGCTGTTCTGTTTCCTGCTGCCAGAGAGGGAAGCTTTCCAAGCATGGAACTCAGAGAGTTAAAAAGGGGGAGAAGGGCCAACATGATCAGAGGGATGCTGAAACTGGGGCTTGTTTCCCATTTTCAGTGACAGCACAAGGAGAACTTTGGTCTTGCTTTCACCATAGGAGATGCTGAACTGATTCCAAGCAGGGTGAAAGTATCAGAGGGGTAGTCATGTTAGTCTGTAACTGAAAAAGCTTCAACAACAACAAATAGTCTTGCAGTATCTTAGAGACTAACAAAACATTTAGATGATATCATGAGCTTTTGTGGGCACAACCTGAGTAGAGGCTGGAGCTGCTGCTTCTGCTCCTCCCCTGTGAGAGAGTGAGTGCCCTTCCCCAGCCAATCTGCTGAGCTCGCTGTCTGCGCAGGAAGCTCTGAAACTCTGAGCGGGACTCAGAAAAGGGCTTTGCGGCCACATGGGCATGCAGCTTACAAGGAACTTTGGTCATGGGCGTCCCCTCCTAAGCCTTATGCATCACCTCCTTGGCCTTACTGAGATCTATAGGTAGCATATCACCAGGAATTGTCCAGGGCTTCACACAAAACCCATTGTGGAGATAGCCAGCCTTAATCACATGCCCTCTCTAGGAGATGTGATCCTCAGGAAGAAACCTTTGAGAAGCAGGAAGCTGAGGCCAGTGAAGAAGTCTCTCCTCCAGATAATATATCTTGTTCATCTCCAGATGAAATAGTTATGCCTTCTCCATCCTTGGCAAATAATTTTAAGAAGTTTCAGGGTTTGATCAAGAAAATAGCAGACTCTGTGCACATCCCTCCTGAGGAGGTTAGAGGACCTCATTATAAACTGCTTTACATCCTTCATATATCTTCCTCTGCCCACAAAGCCTTGCCTGTAAGTCAAGCCCTTCTGGACCCTGAAAGATTGTCTGGCACATGCAAGCTGCAATGCCAAATACATGCAAGAGAGCAGATAAGAAATATTTTGTTCAGCAAACAACTCAGAGTTTTTATTTTTGTTGTTCCTCTCCTGATTCTTTGGTTTTTGACACATTTAATGAACGTGGAAGAGAACACCATGCTAAATCACATCCGATGACAAAGTTCAGTGGGAGTTTTGCCATTGTCTTAATGGAGACAAGAGTTTATCTAGTTTTTCATTTATTTTTTATTTGTATTGTGGCAGCTATAGAAACTCCTATTATGAACCTGAGCCTCATAGTATTAGGCTCTGGTCAAACAAAAAGTTTCTTTCCCTTTTTTCTTTTTTTCTCTTCTCTCCTCCCCTCCCCAATCCTCTATTTATTTAGTAACTGGATCTTTAAAAACTGCATTCTTCTGAAGAAGTGGGTTGTGCCCACAAAAGCTCATGATACAATCTACATGGTTGGTTAGTCTCTAAGGTGCTGCAAGACTATTGGTTAATCCCAGTTACAGACTAACTTAGCAACCGCTCTGAAGCTTCTCCCTTAAAAGAGTTTATCCTTGTCAATTGCATCTGAATAAATTAGTATTCAGAGTATTTAATAAATTAATCCAAGGAGTTGATATATGCAAGGGATTGGGAAAGAGATAACAGATCTTTTTGCTTGAGGAATAATGGTAAAAATAATTCTCTTACGTCTACTAGGAGCTAAAGGAATTGAGTTTGTGGTCTATTTTACAGACATGTGCCTACTAAGTGTATCTCCAACTACCTCCATGACTGGCATAGACATTAGCAGCCTCATTGCTGAGGTCATGTATTGAATGGGAGTGTATCATCCCTTGAAATAGCTTAGCCAGAAGAGATGTAAGACATGTTGACAAGACTGTGAGGAAACTTGCATTGCTATGTGTTGTACTTTTTTGCATAGAGAGTTTTGGCATTCAGTGATGTAAAATAGTACATCTCACCGCATGAAAATAGTGTGTCCTCCTACCCAGGAAGTTAAATATAAAATTGATGTTGAACTAATGGCTCTTGCTAAACTTTTTTTCTCTTACAGATACTAAAATGCATGATGTTGTGAAAAAATTGGGAGTGATAGATAAGTTATTTGTTTACTTTTCTGAGTGTGTATACCGTGATGGCAAGGTAAAAATATCACCATGAAGTTTCTTATAAATGTTTCTGTAAAATCAGTAGAACTTGGTATCTTGCTATTCTTTTGTGCACTGTGTGTCAGTATATTAATTGCACTAGTATCACGAGCATCTAAGAACCCAAGTATATGATCTTGCTGTATATTTGCTTTTTTCTTTTGGATTTTACTCATGGTAGGTTTTCTATTAACTATACTAACTTCATATATGGATTAAGTCAGTGGTCACCAAACAGTAGATCAGGATCTACCAGTAGATCTTGAACCATCTGACAGGTGATCTGACTGGTTTAGCCAGAAAGCTATCAAGCACTGGCACTTAAGTTGCCCCTCTATCCACTGTCATGGTGCTCCTGCCCTCTGTCTTGGAGCTGTCCTCTTGGGAGCCTCCTGCTTGCTGTGCAGGGTGTGGGAGGGAGAATGAGTGGGTAGTGATGTCAGGGTGTTCCTCCCCCCCCTCCCACTTCTGTACCTTATCTTCACACAGAGAAGGCAATGGAGGGAGCTTGGCAATGCAAATCTGTCACTTTCACATAGTGTGCGTGCCTCTGTTATTCTCACAAATACTAATTGTCCTTCTCTCATCTCCGGACCCAACACATATGTGAGGGGTTGTTGTTACTTCTTTTACTACTCGTAAAGTGTGATATGTTTGTTTTTTGACTGGTATGTGCATTTCATAATTTTCATTTCTCTCTTACGCTTAAATTTAATTATTTGAATAGTGAGTTCTAAAATGCCTAAACTGTCGTGGCTGGAGTAATTATCCCTATGGTAATTGCTGCTTCTAGACTTGGCTGTCATGTCCCTGCAGCCCTTGAAAAAGGGAGAGCAGGGAGTCTCCACATTCTGTCCTTGCCTGCAGACACTACTCCTGTAGCTCCCATTGATCAGTAATGGGGAGCCATGGCCAGTATAAGCTGTGGACTCAGTGCTTGTGGATGAGGGGCATATGGTGCCATGGAGCCATTGATGTACATATCAGATGCTTTCAGGAGTGGAGTAGGAGTAAGCCTGCCTTAACTCCACTGCTCCACCATCCAGAAGCAGTCTCAGTTAAACTGTGCCCAGCCAGAGCCTGCTTCCTGAACCTCCTCTTACACCCAACCTCCTGCCCCAGATGTGAGTTCCCCTGCACTCAAACTCCTTCCCAGAGCTTGTACCCTGAAACCCCTCCTAGACCCTTTTCCCCCTCCCTAGACTAAGGCTGGAGGCCCGTCTCACCCTCCAAACCCTTGGCCCAAGACAAGAGCCTGCACCCTAAATCCCTACCCCAGCCTGGTGAAAGTGAGGGAGGATGGGAGTGGAAGGGGGATGGAATGAGCAGGATGAGGCCTTGGTGGAGGGGTGGAGCAGGAGCGGGGCCTCAGAAGGGGTGGGAAGAAAGTGGGGTAAAAGGAATTTGGGTTTGAGGTAGATCTTACATTGTGCTTAAATTGAAAAAGTGATCTTGTGATTTAAAAGATTGAAGACCACTGGATTAAGTTGTCTAAATTGTGATGGAAGGAGCTAGTATCCCCCTTAACAAAGACTCATAGAAATGGTCTGAAAGGGTCCTCAAGTGATCATTGAGTCTAACCCTCTGTGATGAGGCAGGACCAAATCAGTCTAAACCATTCTTCACTAATTTTTGTCTGATCTGTTCTTAAAAGCTTCTAGTAGTTTGTAGAATCCTCACTATCTTGGAAGCCCATTCAATTTAGATACTCTTATTATTCGTTTTTCTTAATACTTACCCTAAATCTCCCTCGCTACACATTAACCACATTGCTTCTTATCCTACATTCTGAGGATATGAAGAACAATTGATCTCTATCCTCTTTATTATAGCCCTTAACATATCTGAAGACTATTATTAAATTCCCCTCAGTCGTCTTGTTTTAAGATGAAACATGCCCAGTTTTTTAACCTTTTCTCATAGGTCAAGTTCAGTTTTGCTGCTCTCCATTGGATTCCCTCCAATTAAAAAACATGTGGATAAAGTGTGGCACCCAGAACTGGACACAGTACTCCATCTGAGAATTCCCAGTGCTGTGCAGAATGGGATAGTTACCTCCTGTGTCTTATGAACAACAGTCTTGTTAATACACTCTAGGATGTTTGCTTTTCTCGCAACTGCATCACATTGCTGTCTCACATTCAATATGTGATTTGACTACAACACCCAGATCTTTTCAGCCATATTACCACTTAGCTATTTCCCCTTTTGTCATTATGTGTATTTTCCTACCGAAATGTAGTACTTTACATTAGTCTTTATTGAATTTCATGTTGTTGATTTCAGACCAATTCTCTAATTGGTTAGATTGTTTTGAATTCTAATAATATTTTCCAAAGTGCTTACAACACTTCCCAGCTGTTTTGCCCCCCACTGTTTCCTTTGGAAGGCTGTTGCATATCAGCTACATTCCATTGTAGGCAGTCTTAGCATACCATCCTCTCCATAAAATTATCTAGCCAAGAAGCCAGTTAGGCTTTTTTTGCCCTCACTGTTTCCCTTGGAAGTCTGTTATAGAACTTCACTCCTTGGGTAGACAGACACCTTTATCTAGTTTCATAGAACTGGAAGGAGCCTCAAGAGGTCACAGAGTGTTCCCTGCACTCATGGCAGCAGGAAGCACCATCTAGACTATCCCTGACAGGTGTTTGTTTAACCAGCTCTTTAAAATCTCCAGTGATGGAGATTCTACAACCTTCCCAGGCAATTTATTTCAGTGCTCAACTACAGTGATAGTTAGGAAGTTATTTTAATGCCCAACCCCTTGCTGCAATATAAGCCCCTTATCACAAGGAGTTAAGGAGAATAATTTTTCTCGCTCCTCCTTTTAACAACCTATTGAATACTTGAAAGTTGTTGTCATGTCTCCTCTCAGTCTTCTCTTCAGAGTAAACACATCCAGTTTTCAGTCTTCCCCCATAGGTCTTGTTTTCTAGTCCTCTAATCATTTTTGTTGCTTTTCTCTAGACCTACTCCAATTTGTCCAGTCCTTCTTGAAATGTGGCACCCAGAACTGGACACAGTACTTCAATTGAGGCCTAGTCAGTGCAGAATAAAGGGGAAGAATTACTACTTGTGTCTTGTTTACTGCACTCCTGTTAATACCTCCCAGAATGATATTTGCTTTTTTTTGCAAGAGTATCACATTGTTTACTCATATTTAGCTTGTGGTCCATTATGACCTAGATTCCTTTCCACAGTACTCCTTGCTAGGTAGTAATTTCCCATTTTGTTTGTGTGCAACTGATTTTTCCTTTCTAAGTGGAGTACTTTCATTTGTTCTTGTTTAATGTCATCCTGTTTACCTCAGACCATTTCTCAAATTTTTCCAGATCGTGTTGAATTTTAATTCTGTCCTCCAAAGCACTTGAAACACCGCCCAGCTTGGTATCCTCTGCAAACTCTTTAAGCGTACTCTCCATACCATTATCTAAATCACTAATGAAGATATTGAACAGATCTGGTGCCAGAACTTATCGTTGTGGAATCCCACTTGTTATGCTCTTCCAGCATGGCTGTGAACCATTGATAAACTACTCTGTGGGAATGGGTATCCAGCCAGTTACGTACCTACCTTATAATAGCCCTATTTATGTTGTATTTCCCTGATTTAGTGTTAAGAAGTTTTTGCGAGACTGTATCAAATGTTTTATTAAAATCTAGGTATACCTTGTCCACCACTTCCACCTTATCTATAAGGCTTGTCAACCTATCAAAGAAAGCTATTTGTTCTTTCCAAATTCATGCTGTTACTTATCACCTTATTATATTTCAGATGTTTGCAGATGGATTCCTGAATTATTTGCTCCATTATCTGTTCTGTAGTTTCCTGGGTTGTTCTTATTTCCCTTTTTATAGATGGGCACTATATTTGCCCTTTTCCAGTCTTCTGGAATCTCTTCAATCTTCTGTGTCTTTTCAGAGATAATAGCTAATGTCTCAGATTTGCCTCCAGTCAGCTTGTTAAGCCCTAGGATGCATTTCTTCAGTCCCTGGTGACTTGAAGACAATCTCACTTGTCTAAGCAATTTTTAAATTTAACTTCTGAACCTACTCCATTTTCGTAGGCATTCCCTATGTTAGATGTCCAATCACCACCAACCTTCTTGGTGAAAGCACCATTGGTGAAAGCATCATTAAGCACTTCTGCCAATTCTACATTTTCTGTTACTGTTTTCCCCCTTCATTAAGTAATGGGCTTACTTTGTCCTTGGTCTTCCTCTTGCTTCTAATACATTTGTAGAATGTTTTCTTGTTACCCTTTATGTCTCTAGCTAGATTGGGCTAATTTTGGCCCTTCTTATGTGTGTTTTTGTTTGTATTCAACCTTTGTAATTTGACCTACTTTCCACTTTCTAGTACCCCTTTTTATTTTTAGATTATTCAAGATCTGGTTAACCTAGGGTGGGATCTTGCCATACAACTGTCTTTCTTAAGCAATGGAATAGTTTGCTTTTGTGTTCTTAATAATGTCTCTTTGAAACACTGTCAACTGTCTTCAATTTTTTTCCTCTTAGACATGCTTCCTATGAGACCTTACCTACCAACTCCTTGACTTTGCTAATGTTGCTTTCTTGAAATCCATTGTTTTTATTTTGCTATTGTCCCTCCTGACATTCCTTAGAATAGTGAACTCTGACATTTCATGACCACTTTCATCTAATCTGCCTTCCACTTTCAGATTCTCATCCAGTTCTTCCCTATTTGTCAAAATCAAATCTAGAACAGCCTCTCCCCAGTAGCTTTCTCCAACTTCTCAAAGAAAACAATTGTCTCCAATACATTCCAAGAACTTGTTGAGTAATCTATTCCCTGCTGTTATTTCTCAACAGATGTCTGGACAGTTGAAGTCCTCCATCACTAACAAGTTCTGTGCTTTGGATGATTTTGTTAGTTGTTCAAAAAGTCTCCTCTATCTCTTCTTCCTGATTAGGTATTCTGTAGTAGACCCCTATCATGATATCACCCTTGATTTTTCTCTTTTATCCTTACCCAGAGACTCTCAACAAGTCTGGGTCCTATTTCTATTTCTACCTCAGTTCAAATGTATACATTTTTAATATAAAAGGTAACTCCTCCAGTTTTTTCCCACCTGGCCTTCCTGAAGCTGTACCCTTCTATACCAATATTCTCATCATGCCTAAACTTATAGATGGCCAGTTTGTGTCCATTTGTTCTTGAGTCCACATTGCTTTTAACGTTAATTTCACTACTTTCCTAGAATTTTCCCTCTTATATTTTTATAGAGATCAATCTTATCTCCCTCAGCCTTCTTTTGGTTATGAGAGGAGAGTCATAGAGCTTGATTTGTTTAACCTAAGGTACGTTTTCCATTAATCAGATCATAATAGTAGCTCTCCTCTGCATCTGATCCAATTTCATTAAACATAAAGACCAGTATTCCAGATGAGAGCTTTGCAGTGCCTTATATAATGGTACTAACACTTCCCTGCTGAAAATATCTTACCTGATACTGGCCTAGGATGGATCAAGTCTTTCATCGTCTCAGCACATCGGTGGCTCATAGTCATCCTATTAGTCTGATTAATCAGTACCCCCAGGTCTTTCTCCTCTTTCACTGCCGTCTGATAGTAGTTTTTCTATTTGCAGTGCTTCAGATATTTGAAATAACATCCTGTATGTAACTTTCACTAAGAATATATACAGGAAGGGGAAACGAGAATAGAAAATCTCCTGTTGCCTGAAATTCTTTGCCTGGTTCTTATATCCATGGAGAAGATACTCCTGGGGGAATTCATGTCTGTGTCTGGGCTTGGTGCAGGGAGGACAAGATTTCATTGTCTTGTGCATGGAGTGACCAGGGCTGGATCAGATCCACTCACCATCTCTGTGGGTTTTATACCCTCCACACCCTCTGCTTCCTGCCCCTATTGCTCCTCTATTACGCGGGGACGATTCACTCTTTGGGGAGCTGTTTCCCCATCTGCCCAAAACCCATGCATGTAAATCCTCCCATAATGTAACCCTTCCTTCCTGCACCTGAATATCCCTTCTGCTAATTCTTACCCCCCAGCATCCGGAATTTTTCCACCAAGTCCCTCTGCACTTGGAACTCACCAGCAGGGCACTACAGCGCCCCACTCTCCTCTGTCCAGACCCCTTCCTGAGCACTCCACCTCTGCATCTGGACTTCCCTCCCTCCCTGAGCCTCTTGCATGGGGAAACCTTCACCCTGACAGGCCCTACTATCCCTGAACTTGGACTTACCCAGTCCTTCATCCTGCTGAGCTTGAACCAGCTGCACCTGGATTTCTACCCCACTAACCCAAACCTATTCCCTAAGAACCCGGACCTTTCTACAGAGTTCCCCACATTAAGAGCCCCTTATAGAGACCAGTCTCCCCAGGCCCTCCTCACTGAGCTACAACCACATTAGCATGGACATCTCCTGCAGAGTTCCATTCTCCCCTGTACTCAGAAGCCCCCAGTGAGCCCTTGAGCATACAGCTTCTCCCTCATCTAAGTTGGCCACATCCAGATTTTCCCCCTATGTAACCCTCTCACCCCACATCTGGATCTCCCCACACTAAGACTCTTCACACCTGGCTTCAATCAGACTGAGGCTGTTTGTTCCACGTCTGGTTCAGGAAGCAGATATGGCATGCATATACGAGATTCTGTTATTACTTCTTATTTTGGTGCTCCTGGCATGGAGGAACAGGGCCCTGAAATGTTTCTGTGGCAGGGTGGTTCTGCTGCTGCATCAAGTTCTGCTGCAGCCTCATTGCCAAGTCTGCTGTAGGAAGGGTAATTTTTTTTGGCACAGAACTTCCTCAAGAGTCAGAAGACCGCACAACACTTGTGAATTTGACTGCAGTTTTAAGTTAAGAAGTTTATGAATAAATGTTTTACAAATATTCACAAAGGTATCTTACCTCAGCTGTATTAAGGAGCTCTATAGACAGATTTAGAGGGTAGCCGTGTTAGTCTGTACCTTAATTTTTTTAAAAAAAATGAGTGGTCCTGTAGCACCATAGAGACTAACAACAACAACAAAAAATAGTAACGTGAGTTTTCGTGGGCACAACCCACTTCAGATGAGTGGAGCCACGCATCTGAAGAAGTGTATTGTTCCCACGAAAGCTCATGATACTGTATTTTTTTGGTTAGTCTCTAAGCTGCCACAGGACCACTTTTGTTGTTAAGTTTTTATAGATAGTTTGTTATAGCTTGAATTTGAGGGCTACTCAAGGCTATTACTGTCATAAATCAACAAGACTTACTGCAGAAGAGATTTAATTCCCACAGTTCTATTTTAACATGAGAATAGAAATCCCTCAACGAGCAGGATTAAGGAAGATCACCGGTTGGGAATCTAGGGTAAGAAGTTAGTATTTAAATTATTATCCAAGAACCTAAGTCACATTGAAAGTTCAGTTTAAGTCAATACCAGGTCACTTAAACAATTCTGAAACTTTCACTCTTATTTTGGAAGACAAGGGGAAGGAGTGTGTTAGGGAATTTGGAAATCACAGTAACACTGTGTTAACTCTGTTTTGGCTGATGGTTTTTGTTTATGCTATGTTCAAAACAGACAGGTAGGAAAGGAAAGTGGATGGTCAAAACAGTGAAGTCTCTATCTTCATCAATAAATCTTATACATCACAAAAATCTGAATATCCAGCAAGAATAAAAGACTGGGCTAAAATTCATGATTGGAATATTAAACATTTTACTAGGTTAAGTTAGTTACAAATACTTAAAAAATGCTTATATGAATGGGCTGAAAGCCCTGGAAAGTGAAGATCTCTAGCCACAGGAAGGTATCAGCTGCATCTGTAGAAGCTCCCAGATAGTGATAGAAATGTAGCCGGGTTAGTCTGGTGTAGCTGGAGCAAAAAACAGGACTAAGTAGCACTTTAAAGACTAACAAGATGGTTTATTAGGTGATGAGCTTTCGTGGGCCAGACCCACTTCCTCAGATCAAATCTGATTTGATCTGAGGAAGTGGGTCTGGCCCACGAAAGCTCATCACCTAATAAACCATCTTGTTAGTCTTTAAAGTGCTACTTAGTCCTGTTTTTTGCTCCAGCTACATCTCCCAGATAGTATGTGTCTACCCTGATCTGAAGGGATTCCTTAGGGTGATGAGACTATAATTTACTTACCACATGCGTTCGATTAATTTTTTGTACTTAGATATTGATTGCATACAATATCAAGATAACTTAGGGTGTTTCTAGACTACAGGGTTTTTCCGAAAAAAGTGGCCCTTTTTTTGAAAAAAACAAACAAACAAAAAAACCTTCCCCTTCATCTAGACTGCTGCCAGGTTCTTTCAAAAGTAAATTGAAAGAACACAGCAGGGTTTTTTTTTTTTTGCAGAAAACCTCATTTTACGAGGAAGAATGCCTTTTTTCCAAAGTGGTCTTTCGAAAAAGAGCGCTATGTAATGCAAACTATGCTTTTTCAAGAGAGAGCATCATTACCTTTTCAAAAGTACTAGTTGTAGTCTAGATGCTCTTTTTCGAAAGAGGCTTGCAGTCTAGACGTAGCCCCAGTGCACCAGTTTCAGGAAATATATATTTCCTCAAACTTTTTAAAATGTACAGTATCCTTTCAGGGAGAGGTGCCAATGGCATGCTGGAGAAAGCAAAGTTCTGAATAAAGCCTCAGAAGCAGCCCTTAGCTGTAGACATGCAAAACAGATCTTATGTACAGAAACTAAGGAAAACAAAGTAATGGAATAGTCTCTGGAATACCAATATATGAAAGAGATACTGGCTTTAGTTCTTAATGTGTACTGGACAAACTGTCGATATGTTTTCTGCTTTTTATGTTCTGAATGAGGCCTTGGTTCTGTTTCTGTTCTGTCCTGTCCACTGACTCTCTGATCTTGGACAAGTTATCTCACCTAACAGTTTTTCAGTTTTCCTGTCTCTAATTGAAGCCACTTCTGTGCTTCACTTTGAGAGCTGCAGATGAAATGCCATAATATTTAAAATATTATGTATATTTTATTTAAACAGAGCTATTTGGAAATCTTTCCAATATGGAAAGGACTTAAATTTTCTTCTTTGGAATGAACACTCAAAGAGGTTAGAGGTTCAGAAAAATACCTGTTTACACATGGAAGTAATTTTAAAAAAATCACTGAATTTGTTACAGAATGTTAGGATGTACTCATTTCCATGTTCAGTTTAATCGGTTAACAGTTTGTTAGGTCTTGGTGCTTTTGATCTTTCTGAAGGGGATAAGTAGTAGAAGTGTATTAATTGCTAGCATGGTAGTTGTCTACTATTTAATTAAGAATTTTCTCATGTATTTTGAGTATACAGCAATACAATATAGGCAGTCATCTACATTAACATACTTTCTTCCCTCTCCTGCAGATCATGGAATGTATTATGTTGCCGTGTCTTACACTTCTACGAAAACTAGTATCTGCTGATCCAGTTATACGCCTGTCATTAGCACAGCAGCCTTCTATCCTGCTCACATTACTGAGAGGTGATTTGAAAAAGCTTTGAAGTGGTCTTGATATACTTTGAACAGAAAGAAAATGTCTGAAATTTTACCACATATTTAGAAACTCCCCCCCTCCCTTCCAGGAAAAAACCCCAACAAACAGTCCATTTCACAGGATCAATCTGTGGCTACTTCAGATAGCATAACATTATAAGAAAAAAATTACTGATTTTGAGCTACGATTGTTTCTGTTGAAGTTAGGACTCTTGTTAAAAGTGCTCTTTTTGTACTGTTGACTACCAATGTTTTATTGAAGAATGTTTTAAAATTTATTTTGTTTTATTTAGTTTCCTTAATATTTCAAGATGACTGTGCTGTTCTGACTGAATGTGCAGCATTGTGTTGTCTTCTGTTGTTTGATGAAGTAGCAAGAAAAGACGTCTGGTAAGCTGCAATATAGTATTTTCATGATACCTCTCATGGTTATCCCTTTATATCCAAATCCCGGATTTTCTGATGCTGGTAAATGCACTAGCAAATCTTCTTCAAAATTGCTTCATTTTCAAATCCATAATTTTCACACGTTTGAATTTTCACAAAATACTTGTCCTACAACTTATAGAGCTTGTTCTAAAGCCTATTGATATGAAGGGGAGTTTCTCTGATGATCTCAGTGGACTTAGGTTTTAATAGCCTTATCCACAAGTCCTGATCTAATTGTTGGATCCTTGCACTTAGATTGAATAACTCTGGTAGAGTCAGTTGCAAGATAGAAGCATAAGACATTTTTCCTTCAACCTTACAACAGATTATATTTGTACATTTATTTCTAATGCATTAGTTAAATGTAAGAAATGGCTTTACAGTTTGGTAAATACTTTGTTAATGATGTTCATACAGTGCCTAGCACAATATAGGCACAAACTAGCCGAGGCCTCTAGATACTACAGAAATATAAATATTTAAAAATAATTCTGTTTGTCTTAAGCTTTTGAACTTACCATGCCACATTAACTTTATTATGCAATGCACAGATACAACAGATATTCAAGGTGTAAATATCAAAATATGTATGGTATATAAACAAGTTAATATTAACAAATCAATATTATGAATGTACTTCAGAATATTTTGTGAAGAGCTAGAAAAGGAGGAGGAAATAAAAGCTATCAGAAATATTAAGTCATGGTGGAGCCTTAGTAGAAAAAGCAGGGGTTGAGTTAGGCAATGGCAGTTAACAATTAATTTCAGTCTAGTACTACTGTGTGATTAATCTTTCTTTTTTCAGGGCTGATGCTGTATCCAGTAATTGTTCTAACCTACCTGCCTTCAGCTTGCCTGTAGCTATTGTTAGACGGTGAGCCTCTTAACATTTCCATGTCCTGCTAGTCATGGGGGACCAATATATTCCCGGGATTAAAAAAAACAAACAAACAAACAGATACAATAGATGCTAATTTGTACATTTTAAAATTAAAACAAAATAATTATGGTAACTGGATCGTTCCTTACAACCCTTTAAAAATTTCAAAGCAAATACTGAAGTAAGATTTTCTGTTGTTTCATGAGATTTAATTATTTTTACAAAATGCATAATAGAATTATGAAGTTAAAAAATGAATGGTCCTGCAGCACCTTAGAGACTAACAAATGTAGATAGTATTGCAAGCTTTCAGGGCACAACCCACGTCTTCAGATGAATGGAGCAAAGGGTACAGAGTGCAAATAAAATTATAAAACAAAATAAAATTCTGAAAGTAAATTAAAATATATTTTGTGACTCAGCCTTACTGTTCTATTATTTCCTTCTTAATTTGCTGTGAGTTTCCTAGTCATCTGTGTGACTTCTGAAAATTGTTATAAAGAGCAGTGGTATTGTGTGTGTTTTTGCTCAAGTGCTTATTTTATAGGTAAACCAATATGGAGCTTTTGTATCAATGAAACTTCAGTCAGTACTCATGAAAATTACTACCATTCACAGAACTGATCTGTACTTATTTGTATAACTTCAGCTCTTCTCTAAGCTAAGGGAATATAGTTTGCCATCATGGGCTGCAGATGACCACAAACGGTCATAGAATCATAGAATACGAGGACTGGAAGGGACCTTGAGAGGTCATAGAGTCCAGTCCCCTGCCCTCATGGCAGGACCAAATACTGTCTAGACCATCCCTGATAGATATTTATCTAAGCTACTCTTAAATATCTCCAGAAATGGAGATTCCACAACCTCCCTGGGAAATTTATTCCAGTGTTTGACTACCCTGACAGTTTTTTCCTGATGTCCAACCTAAACCTCCCTTGCTGCAGTTTAAGCCCATTGCTTCTTGTTCTATCCTTAGAGGCCAAGATGAACAAGTTTTCTCCCTCCTCCTTATGACAACCTTTTAGATACCTGAAAACTGCTATCATGTCCCCCCTCAATCTTCTCTTTTCCAAACTAAACAAACCTAATTCCTTCAGCCTTCCCTCATAGGTCATGTTCTCTAGACCTTTAATCATTCTCGTTGCTCTTCTCTGGACCCTCTCCAATTTCTCCACATCTTTCTTGAAATGCGGTGCCCAGAACTGAACACAATACTCCAACTGAGGCCTAATCAGCGCAGAGTAGAGCAGAAGAATGATTTCTCACGACTTGCTCACAACACACCTGTTAATGCATCCCAGAATCGTGTTTGCTTTTTTTGCAACAGCATCACAATGCTGACCTATTCAACTTGTGGACCACTATAACCCCTAGATCCCTTTCTGCCATACTCCTTCCCAGGCAGTCAATTCCCATTCTGGATGTGTGAAACTGATTGTTCCTTCCTAAGTGGAGCACTTTGAATTTGTCTTTATTAAACTTTATCCTGTTTACCTCAGACCATTTCTCCAATGTATCCAGATCATTTTGAATTATGACCCTATTCTCCCGAGCAGTCATGACACCTCCCAGCTTGGTATCATCTGTAAACTTAATAAGTGTACTTTCTATGCCAATATCTAAATCGTTGATGAAGATATTGAACAGAGCTGGTCCCAAAACAGACCCCTGCAGAACCCCACTTGTTATACCTTTCCAGCAGGATTGTGAACCATTAATAACTACTCTCTGAGTACGGTTATCCAGCCAGTTATGAACCCACCTTATAATAGTCCCATCTAAGTTGTATTTACCTAGTTTATGGATAAGAATATCATGCGAGACTGTATCAAATGCCTTACTAAAGTCTAGGTATACCACATCCACCACGTCTCCCTTATCCACAAGACTCGTTATCCTATCAAAGAAAACTATCAGATTGGTTTGACATGATTTGTTCTTTACAAATCCAGGCTGTTATTTCCATCTTATGTAGATTCTGAGAGTGCCGGACAAGGGAGGTCCTTCCTGTACTTTAATAATATACCATTAAAACTAAAAGAATTTTAAAGATCTAACCAATTTTTCAATAAGGGTTACATTCTAAAAGGACTATAAACATGTGACAGTTTCCCTAAAATTATCACAAGGTTTTAACTATTCATTAATTTTGTAAATTTTCCTCAGCCTGGATTAAAAAAAACTCCATGCCACTCAGTTTCACTTGGATTAATAATCACTTTCTAACCAATTTCATGTTCTCACACATCAGGACACTATTAGTGTTTGGACTGCTAACACTTCAAGGAATATTTGTTTTAGTGTAAAATAAAAAGAACCAAAAACCATGGGGAAAAAAGCAAACAAAACCTTTATATTGGAATAAACCTCATTCCCACCCTTTTCTCCCCATTAATGTTGGCCAAGTTGTGTTTGTTTCCATAACCTAGATTTTTGGGCCAAGTTTGACTTTTATGTTGCCTTAAAAAGGGGCCTATTCAAAATAGTGACTAAAATGACATTTTTGATATTCCGTACTTTTTGTTTTGCTTTGGTTCCATATCAAATTTGCCCCCCTTAAAAGTTATAATTCTTTTCTCATGTAAGCATTTCAATTCAAGCTTTATGGGTGTGAAAGTATCAGTATCAGTGATCAGCTGATACATAGCATTCCAGCTCTGGATGAAGAGGGAGGAGAGAGGATGGAGCATGAATCAGTGGATTCATGGTGCTCCAAAAGTGCTGGGAGGGAGGGGAAGGAGTAGGAAGTGTGGTGCTCCAGTGCCCCACTATGCGAGAGGTACATAGAGGAGAGAGACAGACACAGGGTCTGCAGGCCACAGGTTACTCACTACTGTTCTATGGTGTTCATATATTCCAGCCCAAGAAGCAGGCTGTATTTCCTGGCCAAAGGAGATGAAAACAAAGAAAATTATAGTTCTTCACTTGTTTATCTTTTTTTTTTTTTTTTTTTAATGGATAGGTGATGATTAAAGAAGAATCCCTTTTCAGATTTAGGATCTGTATTCAGTGTGTTGGAAGGAAAAACAATGGTCTTCTTCATAGCTGAGTAATCTTTCTTCACACAGAATCCTTTAGTTTGGGAATTTAGGGCTTCCAAACTAGAGGATGATTTTGTGATGGGAAAGACATATTTGTGTTCTGTGTCCTTAAGTATTAAATTATTTTTTTTCTGTCCCTCTCACTTTCAAAAAACCTTAGTTGAAGGATTGAATATCTTTTTAACTGAATGTTTCAACACCATTTTTTCTAAAGGTATCATCTCCCGGTCAAAGTCACTACTCATCATGCAGTTAGTCCTAACTCTGTTGTTTTGCTGTTACCTTCTGACTGCTTGACCTTGAAGCCTGTATCAGATATGCTTAAGATGGCCTGGAATCTGTCATGGTACCATGGGATTGATAACCTATTGCGACTGGTGAACTATGAAACAGAAGCACAAGCGTAAGCCATTATATCTTTATACTAAATCATAATATACTTAATGTAGCATTCCTTCAAGGTTAAATATCGTTTGACATTGCATTGCATTATACTACAAACTGTTCATGTTTCAAAATTGCTATTATTTTAAGTGGCAAGGGATCACATGCCAGTTGGTTGTGAAAAATGCTGCCAGAGGCTGCTAGTTATCTGAATTGCAGCTTTCTAGATCTAGATGTTGCCCATATTCCCATTTATATAGACTGATGAACAAACTCCTTTTAATTAGAATAGGAGCAGGATTAAGCCATAAAGCTAAGGACCAGTATACAGTAGGTGTTTAGGTTGAATTTAGCCGCATAAGATCAATTTTCTAAATAGTGAGTCCAAGCCCATTCTGTCAACATTAAGGGCTATTAAAGTTGATTTTGATATTCCTGTTTTTACGAGGAGTAATGTTAAATTTGACCTTGCATGGTCAGCTTTTTGGAAGTGTAGGTCCAGGGTTGCGAAAGTCTGTTCTTGGCCTCTGAGAGGCATCCCAAAGTGCCCTGCTGTGACCACTCTGGCCAGGACTTGCAATGCTAATGCTTTCCAGGTAACAGGAAAAACCCTGGGAAAATTTGAATTTCATTTCCTGTGTGGGCAGCATGCCAAGCCACTTCAGAGCAGGCAACACACCTGAGCAGCATCACACCTGACTATGAGTTTCATGAGTTCAAGATCCGTGAGCTCCAGAGGCTCCAGTCCCCAGATTTGCAGGCATGCACCAGCATGGAGTGTGCAGGAGATCTTTATTGGTGTGTGGGGAGAGGAATTCGTTTTTGCAGAGCTACAGATCAGCAAAAGAAACATGGACATTTATGCCAAGATTGCCAAGGGCATGTTGGAGAAAGTATGTGACGGACACCCAACAGTACCGCGTTAAAATAAAGGAGCTGAGGCAGTTGTACCAAAAGGCAAAGAAAGCAAATGGACAATCTTGAACATCGGTGCAAACATGCCGCTTCTACAACCAACTGTATGTGATCCTGGGGGAGACCCAACTACCTTCCCAAATCAGACTGTGGATTCCTCCCAAGGAGCTCCAGCCATCTTGCTCAGCAGCATGAAGGAAAGCATAGATGAGGAGGAGAGGGGAGAATAGTCAGCAGGTGACCAGGGCAACCGTTTTTGCAGAGAGCAAAGAACATTTAATCTCTTTGATGACAATCCCTTCCTCGCAGGATGTCTCACAACATTTGAGCATTGACCCTGGGAAGGACACTTCTGGTGAGTTCACTTTTTTTTTTATTGTGGTACATGCGGGTTAAGGAAAATGGGTGTGAGGCAGTGATCTGTGGTATTCTCTGTGCTTATTTATCAGGAGGATCCGGAACAGCTTTTTAACAAGTGTGAAGATGGAGCAATAATCCTCCCTGAACATCTCCATGAAGCTCTCCTAGAGGAACTCTTTCATTCTTTTCACAAGGTTCCTAGGGAGGCCTGTCTTATTCTGTCCTCCATGGTAGGACACCTTTTCATGTTAAGTCAGCAGCAAGTGGTCTGGCATCATTGCAGCACAAAGCATCGAGCATAAGGCCCAGGTTGATGGCCACATTCAGTCAGTATCAGCTCCCTATCACACTGTGTGATTTGAAGAAGACGGATATCTCTCATGGCAACCTGGATGAAGAAGAGGTAAAACTATTAGCTGCTATCTGTGCAGCTTACCTCCATTTGCCCATCACTAGTGAGACATGGCTTCACTCCTCCCGCCCCCCCAGGCCTCTGCCCATAGGTTCCTGCAGGATGGGAAAGTAGAACTCTCTCAGGAAGCGGGGTGTGCTGAACACAGAGGGCAACTGGGTGAGGTGCTGGCCAGCATGACTTGAACCCTCCTGCAGGATAGGAAAGTAGCACTTCTGCCAGACACAGAAGGCAACTGCACAAGCCACTGGCTGGCACGACCAGAGCTTAGATCTTCTCTCGCCTGCAGGAACATGCCCCGGTATGTTGATTACCATGCCTGCCCAGGAAACCGAGTCCAGTTGCTCTCTCAAGAACTCTGTTGTGTATCTGCTGCATCGTGACCACTTAAAAGCGTATTGTGCCTTGCACAGAACACATCCCCATTGGCATTCACTGTGTGTTAACATGTTGTTTTATATTCCACATTGTATCTTCTGAAAAGTCTGCCCTGTTTGTTACAGCGGCAACAGCAGGAAGCTAGCCACACACTTCCCCGGCTCTGCCAGCCATCAGTATGGCACAAATCTGCAGGCAAAAGTGGATAAGGAATGAAATGTTCAAGGAGCAGATGCATCTAACCTGTATGGACAGGGAGTAATTATGGGAATGGAGGAACACACACCTGGAGGAGATGTGCAGAGTCCGGGAACTCATTGCTGGGATCCATAAACTACTCTCCCAGGGACCCAAGAACACAGGGCTGGAAGGGGTGAGGCCCAGGGCAACCTCAACCCCCCCTATCCTGCATCCTGGAGCAAAAGGCTTTCCTTTCTGCACCACTGAGTCCTCCCCACCCCACTTCCATCCTGAACTCCGTGTGTGTGTGTGTGTGTGTGTGTGTGTGTGTGTGTGTGTGTTCCCTAAATAAAAGCACCTAATTTTTGAAACAACTCTCTCTTTGTTGCTTGTTTTGGTGTGTGGGATGACAGGATGAAGAGGCAAGCAGACTGAAAGCTGGGGCACCTAGTTACGAGCAACATGCATGACTCTCAAATCTGGCCACTCATAAAACCATTTTTCAATGCATTTCTGATTAGCATTGCCTTTAGGTGACCTCTCCTTATTGCCCTGGTGTCTGGCTGCTCATAATTTGTGGCTAGGCGCTCTGCTTCAACCCCCCACCTTGACAGATAACTTCCCCCTTCTTCTCTCAAATATTGCGAAGCACACAGCAGGCTGCCACTAGAATGGGAATGTTACATTTGCTGAGGTCTAACCTAGTCAGTAGACTGCAGAACATTTCCTTTAAATGCCCAAAAGTATGTTCTACCACCATTCTGCACTTGCTCAACCTGAATTTGAACTGCTCCTTACTGCAGTTTAGGCTGCCTGTATATGGCTTCATGAGCCACGGAAGCAAGGGGTAGGCTGGGTCTCCCAGGATCACTGTGGTGTGGGCATTTCAATTCCCCCAATGTTAGTTTTTGAGTCTGGAAAGAAAGTTCCAGTTTTCAGCTTTGTGAACAGACAGGAATTCCTAAAGATGCGTGCATCATGCACCTTTCCCATGTTAATATCAGTGAAACGATCCTTGTGATCCACCAGGGTCTGCGGCACCATTGAGAAGTACCCTTTGTGGTTTATGTACTCCTTGTCAAGTTGGGTGAGGACCAAGATAGGGATGTGTTCTCCATGTGTTGTCCCAATGCAGTTGAGAGCACTGCACTGTGTCCTCCATGTTTCCAAGAGTCATTACTCTCTGCAGCAAGAGGGTATTGATTGCCATGAAAACCACTGTAGATTTCTGCACTCCGAATTAATTTCCAACTGTATGGTAGCTGTCTGGCATTGCAAACTTCCAGTGGGCAATTCCATGTTCTTCCCACTGTCAAAGCGGGTCTGTCTTAAGTTTTTTTGTGTTTCCAGGCAAGAGAAAGCAATTCACAGAGTCCCATGAAAGTGGACTTGCACATGTGGAAGTTTTGCAGCCACTGTGATCGTCCCATGCCTGCATTACAGTGTGGTCCCACCAGTCTGTGCTTGTCTGACAGCACTAGAACTGGCATTCCATTGTGTCCAGAGTATCGAATGCTGGCGGCATTTGCAAGTTGCTCTTTCCTAGTTGCAATGGGTCCATGATACGCTCTGGATATACTTCACAATGCTTGCCATCATTATCAAAATGCTTTGCTGTGCAGTGTGCGTCACCGTGGGGTCCATGCTCATGCTGCTATGACATCTGTACTGGTAGGCAGGTAAAGAAAGGATATGAAAAGCATTTTTGTTGTTACCATAAAGCAGGGGTGGAGTGAGTATACAAGTGCATTATGGGACACTGAAGACATGTACTCAGAACTACCTACTGCATGGTTTTGGTCCCAGTGTCCACTGGCAGTTCAGCCAAGACTGCAAAGGGGCACAGGCACTATGGGATAGCTTCCCACAATGCATCATTCTGAGTTGACAGTAGCCTCCCAACTAGGGATGGACTACTTCAGCTTACTTTGAAGAGTGCCGAATTCTCTTGAAAAGTGGGGACACTCATCGATTTAACAAAATCAGGTGGTTAGACATTGACCTTAATAAATTAGATCTAATCTCGTAGCATAGATGTAGCGTGTGTGTTGCTGAACATGAAGCAGCTCTTCATCTTGTTTTAGGGAGTGCTCTATCCTGCTATAGTAAACACATGACTTAATTCATCTATTGTTGGTTTGTTTGGGATGGAATTTCCTTAAAACTTAATTTTATATACATGAAGGAACCTACTGATCTGACAAGAAATTGTTCTTCATATCTCTCTGAATTACATTTAACATAATTTTAAAAGTGCTATATTTTTGGATATTTTGCAGAGCTTAAAATAGCCTACAAGTTTGTTCAACTCAAATAGCGTTTGGTTTATTTAATAGGATTGAATGATCTCCTTATGCGTCAGTGATGCTACCCACGGTTACTCAGGGTTGTGCAGCATCTTGCTACCACCTGCCCTTATCATGGGAAGGCATTGACTCTGCTAGCTTGGCAATACATGTACTACCTCTTCAGGCCTAACTCTTCCATACAGGTTAGCAGTAGGCATACACTGACTCCCAGGTTCTCCAATGATTGGGCACTTTGAGGAGTCTGATACTTGACTCATAAAGGACAAGTGCACACCAACTTAATTAGTTTTTAATTCAGGATCAGCAGACCACTTTACACACTGCGCTTAGAGATATATTGATACAGAAAACAAGAATAAGTTATTATTAAAGAATAGAGATTCAAATTATAGTAAAAATGAACATTGGAAATATTTACATATGAAACAAAATCATAGCTTGCTTTCTAGAGCTCTTGTTTAAACAACAAATTATCTTCCTGTATAAAAAAGTTTCTTAACCAAATTTCTTCTCAACGTTTTCAGCAATCCTGAGAGAGATTTTTCCATGAATCAAACTCACTATCGGTTTAATTCCATGGTGAATGATGAAATTACATACCCTCTCTACTGCTTTTGTGCAGTTACTGAGTGTAGTCCCTTATCCCTTGAGGTGCCCTGTTCAGATGCTTATCTTGTCTTTGTAAATATTTGGGCCTGCACCTGATACAGACTGTAAAGTAGGTACATTCATTTTATGCTTATTGAGTTGGCCCAGAAGCATATGGTATACAAAGATAGATAAGTGTTTATTATTCTCTTCCTCCTAGATTCTGTTTATCTTCTGGTGACCTGTCTTAACTTGTACATTTTAAGAACATTTTCCTTAAATATATCTAGTTCCTTAGGAGCTATATGCACGTAAGTTTTGCAGTGATTATGACGATCAATGTAATGCATACTTTCAGCAGAGCCTTTAAGTGACTTCTTTTGATTTTGGAACCCTGTAAGTGTACTCCTGTGTCTTCTGAAAGTGGCTGTCATGAGATCCTTGGGTTACAGGTTGTGGTTATGTATTTTAAGTAGTTCTGCAAGTTCCTGCTTATCTTAATTTTTTTTAAGTAACCTATCTAGGATAAGATGCTTTTCAGTCATCTTACCCATCTTTTTGTTATAGTTAAAAATAGGATTTATTATATCAGGGACCCACGTTTGCTAGCTGTAGATCTGTGAACATTGCAGATGTTTTTTGACTAATGGAGCCGGGGAAAAGGAAGGAATAAAACTGACCAAAATGAGGCTTTTCCAAAGGTGCATTGTTATTGAAACTTTTTGGAGGAGCATAATTAAGTGGCATTTTGCATATTGGTAATGCTAAGTTTCATTTCTGTTCAATGTCCTGTGAGGAGTATATCTGAGAAGGATTTTGGTTTCTGTTTACCTCCCAGATGTCCATGTGATAAAAATTGCCACCAAAAATAGATTTAATTTGATGAAACAGGTCTGCAAGTTCAGCAGAGAAGCCAAAGATTCTCACTGGGTAGTGAAACTGGGTTACTGTATAAAACTACTCCAACTCAGTAGACTGGCTGAACACACAACAGAACTGATGATGAGTTATGGACTTAATTGGAAATGGGAAGTTATATCTATTTTAGGACGTTTGAAGGCACAGAGACACTGACATCATCATCCTTATGGCAGGACAGTCATATTTATGCTCCCCAATCTAGTATACTATTTCTAGTATATTCTGTTTAAAAATAAATTATTTTATTCATAGACTTTCACTTGTTTAGTACCGTAAGTATGCCCAGTACCTTCCCAATAAAACCAAACTTCAAAAACAAAAAGCTACAGAAAACTCCACATTAATTAAAAAAAAGAAAAGACATGGCTGAGCAGAATAAGTACCTAAGAGTTTCACCGTTCATTTTCCCATTAGAAATAAAAAAATGAAGAAATCTGTGGCTATTAAAAGATACAGGTTATTAACTGTCATTCCATGCCTTTATTTCTTTTTCAGATTTTTAGACACATTAAAGCTATCCTCAGAGGACATTCTTACATTGAAGATAACTCACACAACCAGCGGACTGCAGGATTGTCTCAATTCAGTAATTCAAGCTGTGTCCCACAGGGAAGTTAGAGCTGCTGTGACTCGGATGAGTTTTTATATTCTAAATGACAGACTGGCTTTAAAATTTAGCACTGGCTCTTGCAGGACCACTTTGAAGGGCATGGCTTGGCAATCTGCTTTCAACAGGTAATCACCAGTAAGTGCAAAGTGTGGTCCCTAGTTAGAAAGCAGTGTATCAAGGTGTTTAGGTATATTACATTTAAAAAAAAAAACAGTAAAAAAATGTATTTTGCTCTTAATACATTTAAAAGGCGAAAGTGCAGCAAGAGGGACCTAGCTGATTCCCTAGTCAATTAGTTGATTAAACTAAATTTAACATCCTTAATGCAGAATGCAGTTGGGGAGAGTGCAATCAGATCTCCTCCCCACTCAGGCATGGGGAAAGGCTTTTGCCCCAGGTGCGTCAGTAGAGATTATACTGCTGGAGCCATTTGCTAGATCCAAGGGGATTACAAGTGGAGTCCAGCTCAGGTATTGCTCTTCCTTCCTGGGAATTGAGCAGAAAGGGAGTAGATTCAGGGAAAGCTTAGCTTAGCAATCTTTTGGTTCCCCGCATACAGAAGTTGAAGAAGCTCTTGACCTGTGTGGTTCATGGGGGAGGGAAGAATGGGACTTAGGAGCTGAGAATGTGTTAAGCAGGGAGGAGCAGCAGTGAAAATAACTTAAAATTTTTATAGGTATTGTCTTATCGCAACCTGGGTCCCTGCTAGTTCTTTAAATAGCTCCCTGTGGCTTTCACTGCAGCTCAACCAGTTCTTGTCAGAGCTGTGCACCAGGGTGCACCCACGTACTGGAGAGGAGGGATTATATGGGGAAGCCTGGCTTTCCCCCTTCTCCATCCCCACATTCCTCCACTTACTAGCTCAAAGGTGTATCTTAACATGAGTTAATGCTACTATAGTGGCAGGTTTAGCCAGTCTTAGAATCTTGATTAATTTTGACATCCTGCCACAAATTTCTGACAAATGCATGTGAAATGGGAAAAGTGATTTGAACACTTTAGAACTCAACTAAATCTAAATGGAATTACCTGAGACAAAGTACTTCAATATGAGAGGATGTCTCCTGTTGAATAGCAAATGTCTATTGCAAACAATGGATTCTACATAATGGGAAATGTTAAGCAATCTAAATAGAGGTTGCTATCGGTTCTGTCTATAATAAGTTTCTAAGCTTAAAGATATATAGTGTACTTGGGAGTTTTCCTAGAAACTCTACTCCGCAAAAAGAAAAGATCCTCTGTTTTCAGTATAAAAAAGGAGTTAAAATATAATTGATTTATTAGTTGCTACGTATTTGTAACTTGTGTGTAGGAAAGCAACAAATCTACAAAGGAAATATAACTAAAACAATTCAATGTACAAGAGGAATCGTACAAAAGAAAGTAGTTAATTATTCTTTTTTTCCCTTTCAGTTAGTTTTGGTAGTATATTTAAGTGTTAATAGTTCGGGATTAGTGAAGTTTGACCCATCCCTTTCTCTATCTCTATTCATATATCTAAATTTAATCTTTACTATAGAAGAGTCCATAGTGGTGGTATTAATGGATATTTTATACCATGTTGGAATTTCAGATCTCAAGCCATGCCTCAGCTATGAAAGTGTAATCTGTAGCTATACTGTTTGTTTGTACCAAAGGTTTCTACAAGTACTTCCAGCTTCTACAGATGATGAGAAACTTCTGGCTGATGTCTTAAGTTTTCTAAACCAGTTGCTTAGGGAACAGAGGAAGAGTTCAGAGGCAGAAAATCTAATATGGATTCTGGAGGTACTGTTTAAAAATGTAAGAATATAATTAGGGGAAAATATAGATTGCAAACTTTACAAAGTGGTATAACTGCAAACTATCTACAAATAAAGCCTTTAAAAGGCATCTTGATATTTTTCGTTTATCATTAGTAATAGTTGCCTTGTGGTCTGAACCACGTTTTAAATATTTTGATGACTTAACATCAAACAGTTATAAATGGTTTTGCTTTTTTTTTTGTTCTTGTGTGAATGGCTTTACCGATTGCAAGTGTCACTTTTGTCAAATGATAATGTTGAGTTTGTACTCATATGCCTCTATTTCAATTTTAGGCTTATGCTACATAGTAATGATATTACTTACATGCTCTTTTTGGACTGACGATTATCTGTAATTCATGAATTGTTTTTGAAGTGATATTACAAATATTTATAGTTAGGTATTATTAACCAAGGATGAAGTCTGCAGTACTTTTAGGTGCTTAAGATCATAAGGTACCAATTGCTTTTTTTTTTTTTTTTTTTTCTAAAAAAGGACAATTTATTTGGTTATTATGGCCCTAAAAGGACGATTTATTTGGTTTTCTATCTTGGAAGAGATGCTGCATAAGTCATACAATCTGCATTTTAAAGAGTACAAATAAAATGTAATCTAATCATGAAAGTGAGTGTTCAGCAGCTCTCGCTCTTACTTATGAAAATCTGACCACTTACTTGAAATCAGATCACTTCATTTAGGTGCCTATATAGAAGCCTAAGCATTGTTGAAAAGAGCCCATTATGTATAAAATATATTAATGACTAAAACCCATCAGATTGAGTCTCTTAGGAAATGTAGTCAAACAAGAGGATATAATTTGAATTAATATCTCAATTGCATATGTGTATCTTTCATCAGCTTTTTGGAATCTCAGTCCATGTGACATTTGTATTATCTTGAACAGTATTGCTTCTTAATAAAATGCGGTATGACTTAATGTTCAGAATATTCTTGTGTACTGCTTAATAGATTGGCAGACCTAATAGGAATACTATATTTTCAGGTTTTTAAAAGCATTATTTGTTGTTGAAATTATTTTACTAAATTGTGACTGACCCTATTTTTTTAGATTTTTTTTTTTGTTCGCTGATTGTATCAGGATAGGAATAAAAGATTTGAATGTTACTATTTTCCTCTTAGAATTCAGGTTCACTGCTAGACCTTCTGGTGCGAGCTGAATCCAAGATGCAAGATGAAATAGATGACATACAGACTGCTGTCAGACAACAACTGCAGAAAGAACTGATTAGTATCTTTAACATGATGCTACTCTGCTTCACATCAGTTACTGACAGGTACAGGATCTGTCCACATGATTCAGTGTTCAATTATATGATAGCTGGAACCCCTAAAATATTGTACCTCGGTAGTATAGTTCTAAGTCTTTGGCTCACTAGAAAAAAGATTGCAACTACATAGTTTCCATGTACAGGCAGTCCCCGGGTTACATGGATCCGACTTACATCAGATCCCTACTTACAAACGGGGTGAGGCAACTCCGCACTAGCTGCTTCCCCCCAGCAAACCAGGGAGATGCGAAGCTAGCACTCCCCCCAACAGACCAGGGAGATGCGGAGCGGCTTCTCTCAGCAGACACCTCAGCTTGAGAATAAAGGACTGAGGGAAGTGAGGTGTGGGAGAATAAAACTGAGCTCTGGAGAAATGTTTGGCTAGAGTTTCCCCTACAATATGTACCAGTTCCGACTTACATACAAATTCAACTTAAGAACAAACCTACAGTCCCTATCTTGTATGTAACCCGGGGACTGCCTGTATTTTTTTTAAATACCCTCTCCCCACTGTACACGCGATTGTGTATACTGTCTGAATATGGACATACTTTGTCAAATCAGTTTTTATTTGAATCTCAAAGATCAGACTATGGCCATACTTTAAATTGGACTACAACTTCAACCTGGCTTGTTTAGTATGAGCCTCTGAAAACTGATAATACAGTTGCATCCAGTAGTTCAGAACACTCTGTCCTTTAGACAGATGTGATTTTTAGCAGTCATCTGTGAGTTGAGATTGGTAAAAGCTGTGACATTTGGTTTAATTATTATTTATTAATTATTACATTAAATACAGTGTAAATTATCAAACTGTTATTTGTTATACTTTGAAAAACTGTAACAGTGATACAAATATTACATTATTTCACAGGAAGGCATTTCTGAAAGTGTACCTTTTAAAGGTTGTGAAAGTATCAGAATTTGATAGTCATTGGAATAAAATCATTTTCTTCTTCAAGAGATGTCCCTGTGGGTGCTCCACTGTAGGTGTCAGTATGAACCTGTGCCATTGATTGGAGCTTTTAGAGCAGTATCCTCCTGCGTAGGTACAGTGCCTGACTCATGTATCTTTGGTGCCTTGACATTGTACCCCCCGCCGTCCCTTCTCAAAGCTCCACCGTGTTCCTCACAGAAATGTGTTCTTTGTTACCAACTTTTAGATAGATAAGTAGTTGTTTCCCATTACCTAGATAAGTTTGTTATCCCAGTTGGCCTTTACCCCACTTTTTGTTAGAATGCATGGTTCACCAGGTTGAAAGGATTACATGTCTTGTAAAGATGTTATCACAATTTTGGACCAATACTTGCGATGTTCCCCAGAAATGTGTCCACTGCAACAAGTTACAGGTCAGAGCAAGAAAGGATAGGGATCTATGTTTAAAACTCATCCTTATGGAAAAGGCCTTTTGCCCTGCCCCAGCCTTGGGGTCCAAACTCTCCATGGACCACTCTATGCCTCAACCAGCTAAGGACAAGAAGACTTTAAAAAGTGAATGTCGTCTTCACCTCATAAGACTCCCCCGGCCACAAGATAATCTATGAGCACCAGCTGCACCGCAGTTCATATACCTATGGAGCATTAGGGTCTCCATTACCATTTGCACTGTTAACACTACTGGTGTGCACCTCTCCAAGGTAAAAGGCTTGAATTTGTCTTCCTCCTTCACAATGGCAGCATTCAGCACCACCAAGTGATGCCAGTGGCGTGCTAACAGCCACTCTACTTCTGTTGGTACTAGACAAGCCTGAGGCACCGCCATTGAATGCGGTACAACACACTACAGCACCATGAGCAGGCAGGAGCTCGTCCATGCAGGGAGCTGGTTATTATCTCTTTAAAAAAAAAAAAGTGTGACATTTTAAACTGTATTTTCTGAACTTGACAGTTGTTTTTCTTCTAATAGCAAGGCATCTGAATTTTTATTTCCCTCTCTGTGGTGTATTACTTAGTATGTTACAGGGTTCTTTTTGTACTCATTCATTTTTGGGTTGAGTGAGTGTTCCTCTTTATTCAAAATGAAATTTGGGACTTTCAGAAATGAAAAACACTTGAAGCTTCAAATGTCAAAATTTGTTCTGCTTTAAACTATAAAATAGATTTTGATACCTAGACTTATAGGACTAAAGAACCAATAAGATGCCATTGACATCAAATAAAATAATTAAGTTAATTTTTTTATTTCATCTCACACATTTGGCTTTTGTATTTGGAACAGAAAGGGCTTGGAACAGACTGACAATTTCCGAACACAACTGGCTTTGAAACTACTAGAGTGTTTACAGGTAACAGATGCACCGCACTTTTATGGATTGCCTGCTTTGGAGAGGACATTACGAGGAATGGTTCATGTCACTGCACACCCGGGCTGGAGTTCACACTCTGCCACAACTGAGTCTTTCACAATATGTATGAAATATTTGACAGGTCTTCTTGAGGTAAGTAGCTTATGTTATCATATGTATATGGGTGGTAACAATCATAAAACAAGTTACATATTATGCTTCTGAATGCCATGTTTGTTTTATTAAATGGATTATTATTGGGAAAATTTACTTGGTAATCTTGTGGCACAGTGATTTCAACAAAAACTTAATAGCAAATGAATTCTGGGTGTGTGTACACCATGAAAATTGCAAGGAAGGAATATTGCATAAAAATACTTAACTTCCCCAGTTAGAAAACAATAACTAGCTTATGAATGGTGGAGTGAAGCAGATCCATTTTGACCAATTTGAAACAGTGTATATCAATGTATATATAGTATCATATATATATCAATGTGTATAAAGTACAATATATAACAATGTCTTTGTGTTTTGGTAAGTTGGCTATATTTGATTAGGGTTGCCAGATGGTTTCAACAAAAATAGCAGACACACTTGACGTTACATCACAATCAACATTACATCTTATTTAGAAAATACAAGACATTTATATTTTCTCATATATATTTTCTCAATTTGTTTCCCAAACAGAAAGCTCAAATATTGGACTGTCTGGTTCAAAACCGGACACTTGGCAACCCTATATTTGATCATCTTCTAGACCTTTTAAGAAAACCTTATGAGGTATACATGTTGAGCTTCACCTCTACATGTCTAAGTGAGCTGTTAAGTTAGTTATTTATTGCCCCCATTAAATCCTCTCTTCCCCTTCCCACATACAATTACCTGTTTAGTAAAGAAAGCAGGATACAGTATAGCCAGACCAGGTAAGTGGGAAGTGTCCCATAACAGCTGACTAGAAAAGAGGGATGTATATATACCCAAGGCAGTTCTGGCGAAGCTGTTTTTAACCTGGACAAGGCTAGCATCACCCACAGTTTCACTTATGGAAGTAGTCAAAATATCAGCCTCCATTGTTACCTACTATGGGCATTACGCCAGTCATCTTTCTTCTCAGGGGTCTGGGAAGGCATTTTTTCTCACGGTGGGTTTTCAGGGCTTAATGTAAATTTGTGGCAGTATCACAACTCATTATATAAGCTTGTGGTGGAATGTCCAGTGAGGTAATCCATATGGAATGGGTACAATGATCAGGTAAAACTAATTGGTAAAGGATTTAAAGGAAAAATCCTTTACGGAAGGAGAGAAAGGAGATTCTGGGTTCCCATGACTCCTATGGCAAAGAGTTAGCCTATGGAAGAGGAGGTGATTGGGTTATAGTAGCGGGTTCATGGAATCCAGACTAGAAAAGCTGATGGCAGCCCCCCATATGGAAACACATAGGTACAGTGTTACTTACAACTGTGCAGTCTTGTCTGCTGTGTAATCCCAGTTATTTAATTAAAACCACATCCAGTGTCTCTTATTCTCTTCTTCTGACACAGCCAGACAGCAATTTTTTTTATCTCCAATATGACAAAATAAACTGAAGATTAAACAGTGGAATGGAATGTAAATGTGCTGCGATGGACACTAAAACCAATCTGTAGTGACAAATATTAGTGTACATTAAAAACAAATCAATTCACTTTCTGTTCGGTTTTTTTTGTACCTCATTTTTGTACCTATTGTAATTTTCAGACAAGAATATCACTAAATAATATAGGAGATAAATAAGACCAGTAATTTTTCAAAATTAGTGTCTCCTTTGTGTTGGACTGAGATTTATAATTAGGGAATAGAAAAAAGAAAAATCTACAATGTCTGCCTATGGGCAGTAGTCCTTTAGAGCTATAGAAATATCTTAGTAGATAGGTAATATAGTGGTAAGCTAGGAAAGCATAGTGGGCTAAAGGAACAATTTTGTTATCTATACACTGATCCCTTCGTTTCTTGTCCAAGTCTAGGGAATTATATTTATCAACCAAAAAATGTAATGAATCTTCTAAACTAAACTAAAATATTGACGATAACTTAATACTCCAAAGTAACCTTATAATAATGTAGAGTAGCTGCAAAGTGGAGGTAAACAGTTTATATAGATTTTAATTTTGGTCTTTTAACGGTTTACCATAAAGAGTGAAAAAAGTATATCAGAAATTGTTCTTTTAAGTTTCAAATTTTAAAAATTGTTTACATCAAAACAGCAATGCCTATTAGAAAAGAGAGAAATTTTTTTATCAAGGTCACCAATTAATCGTAGTCTATCAGTTTAAAGGAAGCCAGTGCTTCCCCTGACCTGGTCCCTAGTTGGTCCACATCGTCGTTCAGCGTCTGTCCCTCGTTGTTTATCCAGGGAGTTTTTAACTCAGTCAATAAAAGTCCTTCGACAATTAAGCATAGTCCATCACGTAAGAGAAGCCAATTCTCCCCCTGACCTGGTCCCTTGTCATTCTGTGTCTTCTTCTCAGTAAGACAAAGTCCATCAGGTGAAAGGAGCCAGTGCTTTCCTTGAACTGGTCACTCATCGGTCTGCAATCCTGTCCCTTGTCATCCATCTGATAGTACAAGCCAATCTGTCCAAATGGATATTACAGTATCTCCAGTACAAGTGAGAAATAAGGGTGAGAAATAAGTAGCCTGCAGACCAAATGCATTTTTTCCATGTTAGTCTCTAGCGGATTGCCAGACACTTCATTTACCTGCACATCTGCAGGTACGGTGGCTCACAGCTCCTATGGTGGCAGCAGTTCATCATTCCTGGCCAATGTGAGCTTCAGTGAACCGTGTTCCTGCCTATGGATGCGCAGGTAAATAAAGTGTCTGGTGGCCTGTTGCATCCAGCCCATATGCTCTATATTGCCCCTCTCTCTCTATGGGGAGATACACACTGCCTACTAGGATTCTCTTAAAATCCTTAGCCTTTTTAACAACATTCATTTTGTGGAAATCTGCAGAACTGCAACCTAGACTTCACTACACACTTTTACACAATACTGTGCATTGCTCCAATGCGTATCTTCCAGTACCCTGTTAGTCCACACAGTGCTCTCATCTGCTACAACTTCAAATGCAAAATTCCCTCCTTCCTCTGGAAGGCATGCTCTGAAGTCACCTAAAGTGGAGCACCAACAGGGAGAGCACTCAAAGAGGAAGTTACTCACCTTGTGCAGTAACCAAGGTTCTTGAAAGATGTGCTCCCCTATGGATGCTCTGCTATCCACCCTCCTCTCCTCTGCTTTGAAGTTCTATCCTATATGGACTCTTCAGTAGAGAAGTGTGTGTGTGGAGGGGAGGGGAGGGCCGTAACAAGGACGGGACAAGCCCTGGGACATCATAATCGGGTGCAAAGATGCAATAAGTAAAAATAATAAGCTGCAAAAGTCAAGAGCACAACGTGTGCTTACCTAAGGAGAGAGAGTACATAATTAAAATTTTGCTAAGAACACAAAAATACTTAGTTACGGTGCTGGTGGAAGGAAAGGGGAGTTTGGCTGCTCAGCATCAGTTGAGGCAGCGTGAGACTGGGCCTGGCATGTCCAGCCTGACAAGACACTGCTACTTTAAATCTCTGACTCTTAGTGCAGGGGTGCATCAGTACCAAAGTGGAGCGCCCATTGGGGGACACATTGAAGAATCTCCATTACTGCACAAGGTGAATAATTTCCTCTTGTTAAAGTGGAAGTAAAATAGTTGGATTCACTTGATTGATGAAAACTTCAGATAGGAGTTTAAAATTAAAAATGGGACGAAAGTTATATATGGTGTCATGTGATAGCAAATGGTCAGAGAAAACAACTAAGATGAAAGCAACAGGGAACCAAATGATAAGCTTTCAGTCTTGTCTGCTGTAAGTTCCATGTGATTTCAAGTGAACTAAATATAACAAGTTACTTAAAAGTGGAGCGGCTGGAAGTTTGGGGTTTTTATGGAAGGAGGTGGTTTGAAGGAAAAGGATAGGCAAATTATACTAGGGATTTTAAATTGTGTTTAATCAGCTACTTGAGTAGCTGATGGAATTTCCATCGACTACTTTATAGTTGATAAGGTGGGGAAACTGCAGAGCTTTAGTAGGGTTGGCTCCTGAACTCGGGAGCTAACCCTGCTGTGGCTCTAGCATGTGAATGTATGAAGAGCCTGATGGCCAGGCAGCTACCTGGGCTCTTAATACATTTAAAAAGCAGAGGTGCAGCTTGGGGGACCTGGCGCAAGCTGAGACAGCTGATTCCCGTCTTACACTGGGTCATCCGGGCTGCACCTCTGTCTTTCTGTCCCCTCCCCCCCCCCCCCCCCGCCGGGAGCCCCCCCCCCCCCCCCCGCTGGGACAGTGCTGGGGGGAACCAGCTTTTTAAGATGGCTCCCCCCCAGCACCAGCTTCTGCTCCCCCCAACCTTGCTGCCTCTCTCTGATAGAAACAGCAAGGGGGGGAAGGAGGAGAGAGAGGTAGGGAGGGGAGAGTAGCAACTAGTTGAGTGACTCCTTGACTAGTCGCTTACGTCCCTAAATTATACTAACAATATTTTTGGTGGAAAATGCTCTTTAGATATAATTCTTACACATGAAGTTCCATAAGTTTTATGACTCATATCACTGTTCAGCAGATTTTGATATTTGATATTTAAAATGAAAACTTCCATTTACATCCGTGCAAATCTTATTAAACTGTCCAAAATGAACCCTCTTCCTTTAGCGTAATTTTTTACAAAGTGCCAATTAAACTGAAAAGCTTTTTGTATAGAAAGCCTTACAATAGCACATTTTCTTTATAACAAGAAGTGTGAAATCTGCACCATCCTGCTTTTTTGAGAACCAATATGAAATAATATCTTCATAATAGCGTAAGGCTAGTTATCTAGAAACAATTATGAAGAGCTACAAAATATTTTAAATGACTGTCATATGTGAAAAGTATCTGTCTTCATTAATCACACAAAAGATGCTTTGTTTTTAAGTTATGCAATGGGAATGTTTTAATAGAAAATGCTAGTCTGAGACCCATGGAGTAACTACAGATACAAGGGCTGTGGCAAGATGGATGCATGAATTATTTGAGGCTAAAAATTGAACATGGTTAGCTAAACAATACATTGTAATCCTAGGCGTGCAAAATAGAAAACTCCAAAGCAAAAAAACCCCACAAAAAACGTATAATGAATAATAGTATATATCACAGCCCATAAAAAACCCATTAGCTGACTGGTCCATAGATAGTGCAGACCTGAGTGATCAAGCAAAAAGCAGGACATGGAATACTGTGGTACAGCTGTATCACAAAGGAACCTCTGACCAAGTAGCTTATTGTACTGGAAATGTAAAGTATTCTGAAAAAAGCAAGGAAAATGTATGTTGGATAAAGGCTGTTACACTTAATCAAGTTTTAAATTCATTGAAGTCTGCAAGACACTTTGTATGTATTTATGTTTTTCTCATTATAAAGCTTCCATGACATTGCTTTTTTTTTGTTTGGTTTGTTTGTTTGTTTATTTATTTAATTACAGGTTATCTCATCTTTTTATGTTGAATGGGGAGGAAATGCTATGTCCTTCATGGGGAAAGGTGTCACAAAGAGCACAGTACTTTGCTTGCTTCACTTGTCTCACGAAATGATGGCTCAAGCCAAAACTATGGTGAGAGCACTAAAAGCTGCCTTTCATTTGTCATGCATGTGACTGAAACACTGGCACATTATTGATGGTTCAAAGCTATAGTCTAGTTTTGCTAGACATTAGAGAGCAGAAAATTGAATTTCAACTGGTGTTTTCCTTGCAATTGTGGTGCTTTAAATTACTGAATTTGAACACTAAGGAATGCTAATGTCACTATTTTAAGTGTAAGACATACTAGCTCTAAGGTCTGGTTCTGCTAACATTCCTTACTGAGCAGTATCACTGTGCGGGTAGTCCTTTTGACTTAAGAGGAACTAGTTGCAGAATGAGGCACTCATTACTTAATGGTAAAGATGGTAAACAAGGGCTAAAAGCATGGTATTTACTTCTAAAATAGTTTAGTAATAAGTATAGTATCTTCAAGATTATTTTAAATGAGGTTACTTCTGATACTAGAAAATAGTTTGGTTAAATATATTTTTATTTGTACAACAATTCTGGAAATAAAGCTTCTTTTAACAGAATGTTGCACAGTACTAAAACTTTCTTATGGTAGGGTTGATTTACAAGATGCAGATTCCAGAAAATCCTGAAACATATTTTTAATGTTAAATCTATAAGTGAATCCCATTAAATTTAAGAGAGCACTTTTAAGTTTTGTGCTGTATCAGGGCCCAAATAAACACATTGGCTGAGTCTAGACTGGCAAGTTTTTCCGGAAAATCATGTGCTTTTCCGGAAAAACTTGCCAGCTGTCTACACTGTCCGCTTGAATTTCTGGAAAGGCACTACAATCTAATGTAAAATCATCAGTGCTTTTTCGGAAAAACTATGCTGCTCCCGTTCGGGCAAAAGTCTTTTTCCAAAAGACTTTTGCGCAAAAGGGCCAGTGTAGACAGCATAGTACTGTTTTCCGCCAAAAAGCCCCGATCGTGAAAAAGGCGATCGGGGTTTTTTTTGCGGAAAATCGCGTCTAGGTTGGCCATGGACGCTTTTCCACAAAAAGTGCTTTTGCGGAAAAGCATCCTGCCAATCTAGACGCGCTTTTCCGAAAATGCTTTTAACGGAAAACTTTTCCGTTAAAAGCAGTTTCGGAAATTCATGCCAGTGTAGACGTAGCCATTGAGGTTCTGTGCTCTTCTGTTAAATGTCTTAATTCAGTGTGCAAATGTAAATAATCTATAAAGTTGCTTAGGCGGTTACCAGAAAAATTAAACCGGGTAAAATACCTGCTAATAAATATGGTTTGATTTTGTTTAATTAAATCCTCAAAATATAACCAACCCCCAAATGTGCCTGTGACCATATTCTGCAAACTTAATTTTTTTAGCGTTAAGAATAAGGTGGAAGTCATGGTCTTGAGCTTCAACATGGTTAAACACAAAGCCAGGATTTTACTATCCATTTTGGGAGACGAAAATCCAGTATAGAAATGCTCTGTTAAGAATGAGAAAAGAAGTTCACACAGTTTGCAGATAGCATATGTATTTAATTCTGCCACCCTTACTCATGTTGCATAGTACTTTACTCTGGAATTTGCCCCGAATAAATTAAAGTAGGCTCCAGTGTAATAAAGTACTACACAGTTCAAGGGTAATAAAGTCCGTGTCTTGAATAGCATTTCTCATTTGTGCAGCTAATCAACAGAATTAAACTGTGACTCTTTCCTCTTAACTCAGCATTTATTTTTCTTTGGTAGTTTTAAAAACAATTATACCATATTAAGACAATAGTTTTGTGTTACTGACGAGTACATTTTTTATTTTGTTTATATTGCAAAAAGGGGTTTGTACCACACAGTAATATTGTTAAGCTTTACATTTTGCTTCCAGAATCTTTGCCATACAATATTAATGCTTTATACTGAAATAAAGAAAAAATAGCTTACATAGTTGGAGGATAGAATTTATTTGAATAGTTACTGTCTGAAACAAATATTTTGTCATTTTTTTTCTTCTGATTAGGACTGGGTGTCTCTCTGGCTCTTGCCTTACAATAAAAGTGAAGAACAAGAACAAGTTCCTTCTCAACTCGGTCTAGCATGGCTAATTCCATTGTGGGTAGATAGAGATCCTGAGGTTAGTGTGTTCTAGCATAAAACTATTGCTCCAAGTTTAAGAAACAAGTGTATTGCAAATCTAAAAAATTGTGTTTAATGTTGACACTTAACTAACTTGTCCTAATTTTAAATGTGTGTTTTTAAATTGTACTTCAGAGAATAATAATGGTTAGAATTTTTCTATCAAAGTGTCTTAAAATGAATCCCTATCCTAATTTCCTACCCTCTCTGTCCTCGCCCTCCCCCCCCCCTTCTTTTCCTGATCATCCATGGTAGTGGCTCCTGGGGCCTTAGCACAGAATAAATTTAGTCTAGATAGAATCATTGCTCTCTTAAAAAGTGTTTGCAGTATTCTTGTAGCATAATGGGCTCAGAATATTAGAGAGTTAAGGTAGTGAGTGAATATCTTCCATTGGGCCATCTTCTGCTCGTGAAAAGACAAACTTTCAAGCTTATACAGAGCTCTGCTTGTAGTCTGGGAATGATGCTTACTGTCACAGCTAAATTTAAGGGTGTAACCAATAAAGAGTTAACAAGTTACATTTGAAGTGGGTAATTAAGACTTCTGCAGTTGTAGGACAAAGATGGATTAGTGGGTTATATGCTGTTGTAATGAGCCATAAAATCCAGTCTTTATTAAGTCCATGATTTAACATCCAGCAGAGTTATGAATTTAAGTTCCTAGGCTTGTGTTTTGAAGATGTGCTGCAGGTTTCCTTTTAGGACAAGGACTGAGAGATCAGATAGGGACTGAAAAGTATTCTCCCCTGATGATACGGTGTTTTTGTCTTCTCTCATTTTATTTGTATTGGTTTTTCCTTCATTGAAGTAGGTTCTCTCAGGTATTTGGGTGGTCTCTTCCATGATGATGTCCTTGTTGAATGAAGGCAGTCTTAAGTGTGTTAAATTGTTTATCCTGTGTTTTCTTCTTGGAGTATATTTCTGTGGTATCTGAGTGCCTGATGGTGGATAAGCAATTTCGTGAGGTGATTACTAGATCTGTGAAGCTAGGTGTAGTGATCCCTGAGTTTCTTGTTATGGATGAGTGGTGGTGTTTGAAGTTGTGTTGGAAATATCAGAGGGAGTTTAGTATGTCTGCCCAGAAGATGCCAATGTCATTGACGTGTTCATTGTTTATCATTGGTTTTGTTGTGCATTTCACCAGAAATTCTTCCTTCTGGTCGCCCATTGAGGAGTCATCCTAGTACCTGTGGCTGTTTTAAAACAACAACACAGTGTCAGCTGTGAATAGACCCATCTTACAACAAAGCAATCACTCCATATCTAATCTCTTGATCTTTGTCTTCAAAGGAACTTGCTTTACACCTTCATAAGACAAGAATGGGAACTTAAACTGATCACTTTGCTAGATACCAAAAATCATGGACTGTGTTTTGGGCTCCTTACAGCAGTCTGCAACCCATTTACTCTAATTTTTCCAACCACTGAAGTGGTGTTAATTGCCCATTTGAACTTGAATGGTCTCTTGCAATATGAGTTAACTCCTTATCATTTCCACCCTTGAATTTATCTTTGTCACTCAGACCTGAACAAGAGCTTTGCATAAGCTCAAAAGCATGTCTCTTTTCATTAGCAGTGGATCCATTAAAAAATATTGCCTCACCAACCTTGTGTTTACTAAAAAGAATGTTCTTTTTAACATGACTTGCATACTAATTTAAAGCAAGTATACTCAGACAAAAGCTATCAAGAACATTTTATTTGAAACTGGTTGTCTGGATCATTTGTATACATTGTTTTAAGATGTCTTTACATGTACAATTCAGAAACATGCGTACTTTAAAGAAAAACTATATAATGCCATCTCCTTACTCATCACATATGCTTTCTGTGTCTGTTCAGTTCTATTGCCTTATTTTAGCAACTATTTGATCTTTAGCAGTAGTTAGATGCCACTGTGATGGTGGGCGCCAGGGATTAATCTAGATAGAACATTTTGGTCTTGATGCCTTTTTTATTTTGTCATTAAGACAATTATTTAGAAAGCACCAATCAGTTCTACTTAAGAACATCCATGGAAAACAAAGATGTTGATCAGGTTTGACTGTGCACATCAGTCCAGGGGCTTGCATAGGTGTAACTGTGGGCCTGATTTGTCCTGTGGTACTCTTCTGAGCCAGTGGTCCCAACCTTTTGGGGCTGCCAAGCGCCTGGGGGTGGGACCACTCACGTGCCGGGTGCCCAGGAATGGGGCTGCCCATGCGCTGCACTCCTGGGGCCGGCACAGCTCCTGTGCCACGTGCCCAGGGTGGGGCCGCCCATACACCGCATGCCCAGGATTCGGCAGCACCCATGCGCTGCGCACCTGGGGCCGGCACAGCTCCTGTGCCGCGTGCCCAGGGGCAGGGACACCCATATGCTGCGCGCCTGGTGCCGGCACAACCTATGCACCGTGTGCCTGGGGGCAGGACCGCCCATGTGCTGCGAGCATGGGGCTGATGGTGCCCCTTTGCCGTGTGTCCAGGGGCGGGGCCGGCCTCGATCACTCAGTGGGCGTACAGAAATGGCCCGGCGGGCACCATGGCGCCCGCAGGCACCACGTTGGGGACCACTGTAAATCTGAGCAGTTAATATTAAATGGTGAACGTTTTACTTTTTTGTTTTATACTTGTTAATGAAAACGCTCCTTTTATATAGTGTTATAAAAATAGAGATGTTCACAGCACTGAGATCATTTAAAGATGTTCACATGTTTTCAGCTTTCTAGACATGCGTGTCCTGTTTGTTAGGTGGATACCGAAAGATGAGTATTGGTCATGTTGTTGGTCTTTTGTTTGCTCTTGTATGAAAATACAAGTAGTTCTTTAGTAGCTTTTCAAGATAGTTTAGAGATAATGAAAATTTCATGCTTTATTATAAAGGTTTTTACAATATGTGATGAGATGTTAATATTTCATACAATGAAATGCATCTTCTTTCTTGCTAAAATGTTCCAGGTAAGGTTTACCTCCCTTGGAATTGGATCAGCTCTTACATCTCTTGAATTAGGATGCTTTGCTTTATCAGACAGCTGTCAGAACATTTCAGGAGGGTTATGGGGAACAGTGATAAACATCCTTCTGGACCAATCTGAATGTAGCATGGTACGCAGAGAGGTATGTCTTTGTCCTCATATTGTCCCTATGTGCTGGGTTGGGGTCCCTTTGTGACTGTTAACTGACTGGGAAATCCTGTCTTGTTGATCGCAACCTGTTTCAACCAGGACATGGGGACAGGGTTACACCACCAAGACTGCAGACACACACTTTAAGCTCATGAAATTCACCTCTTTGACAATGTAAAGAGAGAGATGCACAGGACCCTTGCCCTCCCTCCTTCTCTGTAACAGTTATTTACACTGGGCTTTTTAATAAACAGAAGTGATTTTATTAACTATGAAAGGTAGGATTTAAGTGGTCATAAGAGATAGCACACAGAACAAAGTAGGTTACTAAGAAAAATAAAACAACATGCACATTAAGCTTCATTCGCTAAAGAAACTACTTACATGTAATATTGCTCCATAAAAGTTGTGGTAGTAATCTTCATGGACTAGACATCCTCCAACCTGGGCCCAGTTGCTTCCCCCACTTCCGTCTAAGTTGGTTCCTACAGTCATCTTGGCTGGGGTTGCTAGGGAGAACTAATGACTTGGATTACCTCACTCCCTACCCTTAAATAGGATGTGCTTAAGGCAGGAATCCGTTGTTCCATGTTGGACTCCCCCAAGCTTCTCATGGAAAAGTACCGAATCCAAGATGGATTCCAGTATCAGGTCACATGATCACACATCTCTGGATACTCTCCATACTTCTTGGGCTGACCCACCCATCTTCAGGAAGGTTAAGCTCCAATGTCTCTTGCCAATGGTTGATAATAACCATGAAGCTTAATCAGTGAGTGACCCAAAACAGTGAATATGCTATTACAGATACACAGTACAGGCAGTCCCCGAGTTACACGGATCCGACTAATGTCAGATCCGCACTTACGAACGGGGCTTTTCTCGCCCCAGAACTCGCGGGCGGCGGGACCACCCAGACGCGCAGTGGTCCCACCACCGCATCATCCGGGGCGAGAAAAGCTGCTCCGGGTGTCCCTGGTCTGCTGGGACCCTCCGAGCAAAGCCAGGGACCAGGGACACTCCGAGCAAAGCCACAGAGGTGGCGAGGTCCCGCGCCTCTGCGGCTTTGCTCGGGGGGTCCCTGGGCTGCTGGG